TGGAGCACCTTAAAACATGTGACCATGGATAAACCTGTAAAAATATGCTATATTTTATATAAAAGTAAATTCTTTCTTATTTATTTTATATAGAAACCCATATAATTATTCCTGATAATCCACACCATAAGTAGGCAGAGGAAAAAAAAAAGAACTGACACAAAAGACAGAGCATAAGGGGGAAATTAGCAAAGGTCAGACAGAATATCAATTCTGTTACCAGACTGCTTTTCAACCTGATCTTCTTCCTATTCCATCAACATAATTCTTAGAGTGCAAAAGTGAGCATTTAGACTACACCAAAGGCAGAGGATGTAAACCATAGAAGTCATGTTGCACATTCATCTTCCAGAGCACAAGCACACAATGTGATAGGTATGTTAGGTCACTGCTGTAAATCTGCAGTTTGAAAAAGGCTGCCGCATTTCTCCTTGCCTTAATGCATAGAAGTCAAGTATAAAAAGTATAAAAGCTTTATGGCCACAGTAAATTCTTCATCTGTAGAAGAGAAGCTGTGATCTAATAGTCAGGGGTAGCAGCACTCAAGAGAGAAAATATTTTGTCTGTCTCAGAAGTGTTCATCTTCAACTGAATTCTTCAAGGCCTGACAGAAAAAAAGGTACTCATTTGAGTGGAAGTGAAAATCAAGAGATGTCTCAAGGATTGATACTGAGAGCTTAAAAAATTGTATGGAGACCTGGCTTATTCAGTGGGTCTAGTGGACCTGAGCACCTAACTAAATCATCTTGCTAGAATTTAAGATTATATTTTAAATGTTTAAGATTATATTTTAAGATTATATTTTATATATTTTGAAAGACATTTTAAGCCCATGTAATAGGCCTTGCCTGGTTCTCATACAAAGAGAAAAACATTAACAAGGTCAAGGTGCATGCAATCACTATTAGATGGAACACCATGGAAAAAATGCTAAGATTGATGAAAGCAATAATGTAGCTGGAAGAGGTGAAAAAATCTGTACTTAGCCAAGTTCAGAAATAAGGAAAATTGAGAAACATTAAACGCTTTTATACAAGAGCAGAAACAGGCAAAGAAAATATAGAAGGTCATGATGCATTACATAAGCATGAGGATGATGAAACACTATTTGAAAAGAATTATAAGAGCTATTGTAGTGCTGCAGACTACCAGATTAATGTGCTGAAAGGCAAGTTTATTGCTTGGAAACAGTCAACTTGCCAAACCACTTGCAGTGTCCTTTGTGTACCTACATTCAGCTTCCCACATTACAAGCTGTAGTGCTAGCACACACTGAGCCAGCTCAGCAGTAACAATGATTTATAAGTCAGCAATATACTTAGAGCAAAGATCATCATAAATATAATGGTTCCAAAGTTTAACCTTTAGCATGGCTTTGTTAATGTATTGTCTTGAGAAATGAGACTTGGGCGTAATAAAAGAGTCTTCAGTCATATAATTAGAGGAAAAAAAAATCAGTAGCCATATAGGCTACTTGTAATTAAGGCTGGTCTAGGGCTGCCTGAGCACCTAGCTGGACATTTGTCTTCAGCCAAAGGTACAATGTTGAAATGGAAACAAAGGCTGAATAGTTAAAAGGAAATATAAATGGCCACAAAAAACAGATCTTAATTTTCTTGATTAAAAGTTATCACTTCACTGCTTTGCCCAGTGCAGGCAAAGTTGCATGCAGCTAAATCTATTTAGAACATTTTTTAATTAAAATATTGATTTGGAAGTGTTATTATTTTGTCAGAGAACAAATACCCTGTACCTGAATTTAAAAAGGGCAGTGGGAGAAAAATCCAGACTATCATAACCCAATGCTGCATAAGGTATATAATCACAGGTAAAATAGAAAAAAAAATCAAGTAAATTAAAAATTGAGTGTTGAAATACTAGTAACATGAACAGGGAAGCAGAAAAGCAGTAAAAACTCTTCTCAGTTGTGCCCAGTGAAATGAGAAGAAGCAACAGACACTTGTTTTACTGCAAGAGAGATCAAACACTGGAACAGGCTGTCCTGGCTGGATGGGTAGTCTCCATTCTCATAGGTATTCAGAACCTAACTCTGTCAAGCTCAGGGCATTTGGCTCTGGTGGCCCTACTTCAAGCAGAGGGGTGCTTAACCACTAAGTAATCTTCAAATATGACTTCCAACCTCAGCTGTGTTACAGTAACATCAGAATTTTCTTTGCTCTGGCCCACAAGAGGAAAGATATTCTGCTTAGTGAATATGCATAGTAATTTCTGATTTTAGCTAGGCAAACTGTTATCTAGTAAAAAAAATTGCAATGCTATATTTCAAAGTTCTGTATATTTTGGATATCAGTCTTTCTAAACACTTAAAACCCTCAATACCAGTGCTCTAGCTGAAGAAGATTCAATGCTAAAATTGAAGAGAAATTCATAGAAACTGTAATTATTTCATTTATCTGCTAATAGTCAAATAGATCTTTGCTTACCTGAGCAACAACTCTCAAATCTCCAAATAAAAACCATAAAATATGAACAGTGAAATTGGATTATATTAGCGCCTCTAAAGTTTATGTTCTTAGATGCATAACAGGGCAAAGAAAATAATTTGAAGATCTTGTCTACAATATTTCTGTCATTTGCGTTGAATGTGCTAGAAAGCATCATGCTCTATCTTGAAGAAGAAAACTTGCATTAAATAAGTCTCATGGCAGCTCCTTTTGAAAATGCATCACAAGTTCTAGAGCAAAGCTGATGGTTCAAAGCAAGAACCATCAGTCATAAAGTAAAGTATAACTGTAATTTCTTATACAAAGAAGGAAACTGAATGAATCAAAAAGACTTTTGAAGCTGCACATTAGAGACCTTGAAACAGTTCCAAGCTCCCTGCTGACTGTACATTGGAGAGGGATTCTGAGACACATCAGCTCCCACTACTTTCCCACGTGTTTGCTCCCATACAGAGAAAGCCCAGGCATGTGGCCCTGACAGGAGTCACAGCTCATCCGAACAGAAGACACTGACTCAGCTTAAATTGTATCTGTGACCAGACTTGTGGTACAGCTGTGGCATCTTCACAGCAAAAGTAAGTATATAAAACATACTATTTGAATGCAAGTCTGTGATCAGTGCATTAGAATTATAAAATAAAATATAATATTTTAAGGAGCATCTTCTACTAAATAATTAATCAAAGTCTCTTCTTCTGGTTTTAATGCTAAGAGAGAGGTAGTTGCTACAGAAACTAAAAGGGGAAAAATCACAGAACAGAATCAAAGTGAAGTAACTATTTCTCGAGAGCTTTTACTTTTAATTAAATTTCAAGATTTACGAAGTCATGAAAGCATGGCAAATAGGACAAAAGAACATAGTCACAGGAGCTTAAAAACATAAATTTCAAAGTTTCCACTTACGGCATTTGGTTTCATCATGGTTGTTAGTGCAGTCAGGCTTAAAATCACAAAATTTATCATGTGAAATACATTGCCCATCCCCACATGAAAAAAATCCCGCTGGACAGTAAAAAGATGAAGCATTAGCATCTGTAGATTCTTTTCCCCCTTAAAAATCAGAAAAATACATGTAAGTCAAGCCACAAGTATATAAAATTATAAGAAGTGCTGCTTAATTCCTTTTAATATAGCGACATGCTCAGCACAAGGAACAGATCAGCACCTATGCAGTGTACTAGATTATCACAGCTGATAAGAAATACAGCTGATCTCAATGTCTGAGGGACTTAAACTAAATCTTACTCTCCACAATATTCAAACTTTCATGTGACAAGTTATCAAATACACCTTGGTGTTACAGAGCCAGGCTCCTGCTCAGAGGCCAGTACGGCTCCCTGCCCTTTCCCTGGGAGCCAGGTGCAGGTTCTCCACCAAACCTTTCTGCTGTAGCCGTGCTCTCTCTGTGCTCAGGTCACAATGAAAGCTTCAAGAAGCCAAGGTTGGTGCTGCACCATTACTAGCCTGTACCTCAACTTACACGCTAGAAAATACCCCAAATTTCAATGAATGGGGAAACAAAAAGCCAGGATCTGCTGGTTTTTCTTCACTAGATTTCTGGAAAGTGAATAAGTGAGAGGAATGATAAGCAGCTTATCATATTCTTTGTTTAACTTAACTTTTTTAAATACTCACATTTCTATCCAGAGAGGGATTAAAAAAAAAAAAAAACTCTCTTCTAAAAGTAATATCTTTGTGATTAATGGGTAAATGAGGGAGTTGTAGAGAAAACAATTAAAGCAAATAAATGTTTTTCTAAATACCTCAACTCCACTGTATATAGGGATCAGAGAAGCCTTAAAAACACAACACTGAAGTTCTCTATTGTGCCTTTAAATTTTTGGATATTAAATTCAGATACCATATGTCTGTAACTCATCAACATCACCCCTGACTGCACATGTACCCATGCCATTTTTGAAAAGTAGCTGTTAGCATCAAGAGGACCATGAGCAGCAGTCTGACAGGTTATGTTGTTTTATATTTCCATCCATTGGCTCTTAAAGACTACAAAGTGTGGGTACAAAGACAAGTTTGGTGGGCATTTATTATGCCAGATATTTAGCAGTAATGATGGGAGAAGCTTTTTTCCATAAAGGTAAAGCAGCAGAATTTGCTCTTTAGTGGAAAATATAGGATGCTTTCCTTCTGCCTCTGCATCCAAACGTGAATGTGAGCAGGTACTACATAGTAAGTGGTACCAGGAAATTCCCACCAGAGCTCACTTTGCAGAATTAGTGCAAACTTCTTACAGCAGCTAATGTGTTACACAAGGATGAAAGCCTTCATTAGGGAATCATGGAATGGTTTGGATTGGGAAGGGCTTTAAAGATCATCTAGTGTGCCATGGGAAGAGTCAAAGACCCATCCAACATAGCTGGGAACACTTCCAGGGACATGACTGATTACAGCATATGGACTTTTTTCCTCAGATTATCTATCCTCTACTTTGTTAAAAGTAACTTCAAGTTTTCAGTAAAATAAGTTATATATAGCAGACATTGGGGAAAATGTATTGAAAACCATGAAACTTGCCTTTACTTTCCTGGCTGACTTCTGGAAGTGATCCATTCACAATTACACATTCCCCTGCTATACTGATATCATCAACAGCAACAGTAGCATTTGTTGTTAGAATAGTACCCCGCAAGACAATCTGTAAAAACAGAAAAAAAGTTAATGCATTAAAGGTGACATGATAAAAAGACATAAACACACACATATTTATTTATATATTAATTTATAATTTATGACATCTGCACAGGAACTAAATAGTTCCTACAAACAACTCTGAACATCAGCCAGGAAAAACTATAACTGAGAATTGGTCAGGTCAGAAATTTGCTCCTCCACTATCAAAGCCATACTTCTACCTAGGGAAAGTTATGCAACCCAGATGACCTTGCTTCAATCAAAACTGGTAAAAGTCATCACTATTGAATGAATGGTCTTCCTGCTGGAACACAGAAAAATTATATATCTTCTTAAATTGATAGTTACCAAGTATGATGATACCATTCATAGTTATCAAATATGATGATTTACACCACCATTTAATTGAGTTCATGCATACTATGCCTGGTGAAGTTAGCAATGTGGTACAATAAATGAAGGGACAGATAGCAAATCAAAGTACCTGCACTGTCAGCCTCACCTCTGTGTTTGGGCAGATAATGGAACACATCCTCCTACAAGTTATGCTAAGGCACACGGAGGACAGGGAGGTGACTTGAGACAGCCAACATGGCTTCAACAAGGGAAAGTCCTGCCTGACCAACCCAATGCCCTCTATGAGGAAGTAATTGCATCAGTGAAGGGTTATGGCTCCCGTATCTGGTCTTCTGTAAAGCCTTTGACATGGCCCCCACAACATCCTGCTCTTCAAATTGGAGAGAGATGGATTTCATGGATGGACTGTTAGGTGAATAAAGAATTGGTTGCATGGTCACATCCAGAGGGTGGTGGTCAACAACTCAGAGTCCTGACGAACATCAGTGAGAAGTGGTGCCCCTCATGGGTCCATAGTTGGACCAGTGTAATTTAATATCTTCATTAATGTGATCAAGTGCATGCTCAACAAGTTTGCAGTGGTGCACCAAGCTGAGTGGTGGAGCTGACATGCCTGAAGGACAGGATGCCATCCAGAGGGACCTGGACAAGCTCGAGAAGTGGCCCATGGGAAGCTCATGAGGTTCAACAAGATGAAGTGCAAGGTGCTGCACCTGGGCTGGGGTAACCCCCAGTGTCAGCACAGGCTGGGGATGAAGGATTGAGAGCAGCCCTGCCCAGAAGGACCTGGGGGTGCTGGTGGGTGAGAGGCTGGACATGACCCAGCCATGGACACTCACAGCCCAGAGAGCCAAACGTGTTCTGGGCTGCACCGAAAGCAGCGTGGGCACCAGGGCAGGGAAGGGGATTCTGCCCTCTAATCTGCCCTTGTGAGACCCCAGGCTCTGGGGTCTCCAGCACCTGTTAGAGTGAGTGTAGAAGAGGTCACCAAGATGATCAGAGGGATGCAGCACCTCTCCTATTAGGAAAGACTGAGAGAATTTGGTTTATTCATCCTCAAAATGAGAAAGCTCCAGAACGATGTAATTGCAGCCTTCAGTACCTGAAGGAAGCCTACAAGAAAGATGGAGAGGGACTATTTATAAGGTCATGTAGTAACCGGACAAGGGGAATGGATTCAAACTTTAAAAGAGTGTGTTCAGACTAGATATTGGGAAGATATCCTTTCCTTTAAAGGTGGTGAGGCACCGGAAGGTTACCTAGGAAAGTTGTAGATGCCCCATCCCTGGAGATGTTGAAGGCCAGGCTGGATGGAGCTCTGACAAGCTGGTAAAGTGAAAGGTGTCCTTGCCAATGGGAACTGGAACTAAATAATCTTTAGGGTCCCTTGATGTTTGTTACTAAAAGTTATTCTAATGCTTACAATACTGAAACAACGGCTATGCTGTTTACTAGATGGACCTGTGGAAAAAGCTGAATTAAATTCTTTTTCATATGAGCATTAAAGAATGGAAAATCTCTTTCTATATTTCATTATTAAAAGTAATTGAATTCTAAAGGCCAAAGTAAAATATCTTTTTGAAAGCAATATAAATGTGATATATAATTACCTGAAAAGGCAATTCTTCAGCCAGACTTTCTACAGGTATATTCACTTTTCTCCAGTTCATCTCAGGCAATCCTGAAATGTCATATAATTTTTCCAAACTTCCATTTAATGCAGTCTTCTTAAAGACAGAAAGCTGGGAATCCTGAGATAACCAGTACCAAAATCTTACCTGTTGAAAGAGTTTTTTAGTGAAAAGCTTTAAAAAAATTATACAATCAATCTGCAATAAAGCCAGTACCAAGGAGTATAAGTACATTATAACAACAAATGACATGACAGGTCTAAGCACAGACTTGGCATGAAAGATGGGGATGTTTGAAATCACAGCATTTTGAGGAGCAGTATCATGTCTAAAGACAAAACTATATTTAAAAGTAAAGCTTATTTTTACAATTTACTTATAACTTGTATCTACCAGCTGATGCAGACTGAATGATATGACTTCCTTTAACTTCTTTATCAGAGTAAGCACTTAGAGACTTCTCAAAGTTTATTCTTCTTTACAAATGCTGAATATATTACAATTTCATAGGCATGTTAATCTCAGAAGAGCAATTATTGAGATTCTTATATGAAGGAAATCTTAGGATCTTTTATTTCCAAAATCAACATAAATGAATACAATCTGAAGACAGGTTTTTAAAATAAACTATTAATCTCCTGAAACAATCAGACTGACCAATAAATGGGAGGAAAATACAAAGACTGTAAGTGGGTGAGACTGTGAGGCAGAAAAGATAAGAAAACGGTGAAAATCATAGTTCACTCCCCCGCACTACAGAGTAATTTAATAAATCTAATTTATTTTTTTGTACTGATACATTTAATTTTTTAATAATACCCAGGCAAAAATTCAACTGAGAACCGAGGGAAAGAAATAAGGTTTTCAAAGACTAATTTTTCCTTGCCCCCTGAGTCCTTCCTCCTTCTTCACATAGACAAAGACTAAAATTTCTTCAATTGCAGTATTGTTACTTCCCTGCAAAAGCCTTGATATTGATAATACTTGTTACTTCATGAATGTAAGACAAGAGCTGGATCAGTCATGCAGAAATATTCCTGTTAAAACACACTGCTACTTTTCAATATCATCCAGCTTCAGGTCTGGTAGACTCAGTCTCTCAACATTTATCACCACTCATGAATATCATGTCTTATATATAATAATCTTTATCCTCATTAATAAATTGAAATGCTTTCATGTAACTCAGTCCCCCAGCAAAAAGCTTAAGAAATAGAAAGCAGCAGGTACACAAACACTTTCCAAAGTGAGGTGTTTGAAGAATTACACTCTAAACAATTTAGATGGCTTTTGTCTTTCAAACAGCTTTTTAAACACATTTACGTTTTCATTAAGTAAGAAATAATGTTACCTTCTTTCTTTATGTCTATATGTCTTACTATACAATGACTATTGTATCCATTATAGAGCCATAAACACAGATCTGGGACTAGAAATTTCCTTCTACAAGTGCAAAACCTTGAGCTAACTGAAAATGTTTCTTAGCTTACATCCACAAAAAGACCCAGCTACAAGAAGCTGCAGAAAAAAGTTACTTCTAAGCTTCAATTAACCAGAAAGGCACAATATAAATCTGTTAACCTTAAATTCAAATATTTTTTTTTATCATCTGGAGCTAAAGAACTTGTAAAGCTAGTAATAAACACAGATCTCTTTGTGTGGATCCTTTTATCCTCTCTGTGGGATATCCAACAGAGGGCATCATCTCACATTAATAGGCAGAGAACATAACACATCCTAGTGAACAACCCCTACTCGTTGCTCTTTCCCAGAAATAAAAGTCTGCAGGGATAATGTGGCAGAACGCCAGGCTTCCAGTTCTCAAAAACACTCTCCTGACAGACATGTACATTTGGGTAGGAACATGCTCTAGCTTTTGTTGGATCTGAGAATTTTAAATTCATTCAATACATGCATACTTATAATATTTTTTTTTCTTTTCTGACTTTGAAGTAGAGAAAAATATGTGCATCCCCACTGCATCTGTGTTTATTTTGAATGCAGACCAAACTCTGCAATAGATGTTACTAGAATAATTCATTGATTCACGTATCAGCAGTGCCCAGTTTGCCTTAAGGGTTTCTAAGATAAATTAATTTGAATCTGAAAGGTGCTTATCTCCTCAGTATCAAAGTCAACAAAAATGAGATGGAACTACCTAAAAAATGTGCTGTGAGCACAAAGGCTGTTGGGTGCCCCAGGAGTAGTGCACACATGGGGCTTCCATGGGATGTTCAGGATTTCTGAGTTCCCTGCAGCAGCATTCTGCTTGAGTTTATCCTGCATCTGTTTTATTTCTGATCTTATATAACAATAAGAAGTCACACGAAGATTAAGAACTGTGAGATTGACTTAAATGACTGCAAGGCACTGTTCTTGAATTGTTTCAGAAGCTTCTACTCTTCAGCTGCAAGTGGCAGCTATTCAGCTGAGACCTCTCGTAACTCACTGATGTGTGCAGTCCAAATGAGCTGAAGTTTCAAGTAACACAGATTTAGCTAAGCTGGCAATTGTTTCTGGTCCCTTAGATGAGATAAAACATAAGAAGTCATCTTGGTGACCTCTTCTACACTCACTCTAACAGGTGCTGGAGACCCCTGCTGGAATAAAATTCTGCTAATTGCTTGGACTTCTAAGTGCAACACCTTTTCTGACTTTCTTTTTTTGAAAAAAAAGTTTTCTTAAGTGGAATTAACAGTTTCTGTTCTACAAGAAGTCTGAAAAGTTAAGAAACCAATCTAAATTTCATTTTGTTTCTTTAAAGCTCTTTTCTTCACATAACAAAATAAAATTATTTTGGCAAGCTTTCTCTGTCTTTCCCTTTTCTTCTCTCTGGCTTTTTAAATAAAAAAGGATTACACAGTATCAGAAGAAAACCACTTCATAACTACACAACTTCTCCCTAGTATGGCATAAGCATTGAAAAGTTACAGAATAGAAAATATAAAAAGCCTCAGGAAAGATAAAAAAAAAGAAAAAAGTTATAAAACCGAGCAGTATCTATTGATTTTATTCAGTGGCCAAAAGGACAAATAAAAATATAGCTGTGAATGTATTGAATAGTTGCTGTTCATATCTAATATATTTCCTCAAGTTTTGTTTTAATAATACAGAATTTTGTTGAAAAATAAAACTGTCTAGTTATAAAAGTGCATTTTCATCTTTCATCTAATATTTTTCCATTTTTTGTCCCTCCTGATTAATCTTTTTTCCTGGTACCTTTCTAGTTTTTCAGCTCAACCACTATCCTGGCTGTTTGCTTTTGCATTCCTCTGCAGAGCCACAAGACATCTGACCAAAAAAAAATACATTTCAAAGTAATGCCCAAGTACTGCACTGATCAGCTTAAAAAGCATCCTCGTCAAACCATGACCTAAAATTTAGTGCATGTCTGGAGTATGGCAGCTAGTTCTCTCTGGTCACACCAACACAGTTGATGTGTACAGTGACTTGAAACCATATGGAAGCCTGGTTATGTGACTTTCCTGTCTGCAGACAACAGAGTGGCTATTTGATAAAGCCCTGCTATTATTGTCCAGATACCTTTGCCAAAGTACACAAAAAACTGGAGTATGTCCTGAAATCTGAGTTACCTGCAGGGTGCTTTGAAAAAGAATAGTAACAATCAGATAAAAAAATCTGATAGCAAAACAATAAAAATTGCCTTCTCTGTCCTCCCAAAGCATTAGTTTGTAACTCCTTCCACTGGTATTGAAACAGAACCCTCAGCAGCAACACTTAGAGCACGAAGAATACCTGACCTATCAGCTGAGGGATAGGTCACAAAGATGGGGACAGTTCATATCAAACTGTTACCTGGCAGCAGGAGAGCCCAGGGGTAAGCTTGACAAGGAAAGGGCTTCCCAGGTGAGACATGGCCATCTTTGTGTTCCTCTGATGTGATCCACTGAAGTAAATGAATGCTCCTATAAACAGATTTGATTTTAAAGTATGAGAAATATGTCATGCTCCAATGGCAAATGGCTATCCCAGAGAGGTAACTATATACTTCATGAGACACATAAAGCTTATTCATAGATCAAAACAATCTAAACTGCTTTATCATCAGTTCAGTTTCTGTAGATAATGAGGAGGGTGCTGTAACAGACTGTGACAATGTCTATGTGGGTAAAGACAAAAGAGAATTGCTAAATGCTCCAGGCTCTTCCCTTTTGTAAAATCATCATTACTGATTCCAAAGACAAGGAGAGAGGGAGAAGGAAATAAGATTTTTAGGGCAGCCATTGCTACGACTACCCTGTCATGGTGCCTGCGAGCACATAAACCCAAGTGACTACGGAGCCCCTCAAAGGCAGCTCAGGTGTTGCTTCTCTGAGAGCAGTACTGTGCAGATCCACTGGAAGTATTTTTTAATCTGCTCTCTTCAAGAAAAAACCTCAAGATCTCTAGCCTTGAAACACTACAAGCATTACCCATCACCTTCACACATTGCCCATCCACTCTCTGCACAGACTGGGGAGAGCAGAGGAGCAGCAACACAGAGCACCCTGGAGATCAAGCAACAGAGACCTCAGCCAAGATCCCTAAAGGACACATTTTAATTGGCTTAAATAATGTTTCAAACAGAATTTAAACCAGAAATTATTTCCTTTAGGGTACAGTATTTACTCTCAGCACAGCCCAGCCACTTTTAAGCATGCTAACAATGTTGCAGACCATGGGAGCCAATGGAATAAGCTGTATTTTCTCATGGGGTCCACAGACTTGACATTGTTGTCTGTGCTAGTGGGGATGAAAGCTTAATTAAAGATCTAATCTGAACTCTGGCAAATGCACTGCATTTGGATTTGAACTACAGCAGATGTGCTTCAGACAAAGGTAGGGAAGGATAAACATTTTCAAGGGGCCCTAAAGCAGCATATTTTGAATGCCGTCAGTGCTGCCTTTGCTGAATACTGAGACTTTTTCATGAAAGTCTATGCAAAACAACACTAAAGGCTCAGTCCTTTTTGAGCATTTATATTACACATATTTCCTTACATCTTGGAAAACCAGCTATTGTGCTGCCACACTCATACTCCTTAGCCACTTACTTCCCATGGATCTGTAATGAAGCCAAGGGTTAGGTCCAGCCGCATGTGAATAATGGCATTGCTTTAGCAAGGTTGGCACAAAGAGGGGGCCATTCCAGGTTCCTGTACAAACAGGAATGCTGCATTCCGCAGCATGAGGGAAGCTCCCCTCATTGGAATGCAAGGGTACTTCAAAGGACCCTCTTTAATTTGCAGCTCAGGCTCTACCCTAGCCTTGTTAAGATCTTCATTAATCAAAATTTGCTACTGCCCTCCCCAGGAGAGAAGAGAGACGACCACTTCGTGTACTAAAAGGAACAGTTGCAACCTGCAGAATGGTGATTTAATGTTGGCAAAAACTTGCTCAGATTCTGGAATCCTAATTCTGAAGTTGTGGCTGTAGTAGGCACAATGATAGATTGGTACAAAACCACCTCAGAAATACCTTTTCAGCTAATTTATACAGAGAATGCAACATTACTGGGCTTGAGAGGTGGGGCATAGTAACCTCCAAATCTGCTTGAGGCTTCAACCTGCAGCAACATTGAAACAAACTTGTAAAAATTCAGGTATCAATGCAACTTAAGTAAAGCAACACACGGCTCCATATAGGTGATTTTATTACGACACTCAGGCTGCCAGCAGCCTTCCTTCTGACACACCGCCCCTCAGATCTCACCAGCACCTAGAGCACAGACAGACACAGGCAGATCAGTGCACCCTTCTGGAGCTTTGAGAGTTGGAAACCTGTAACACAGCAGTGCTTACATAAAGTGCAGTAATGCAGACCCATCCCACTATACAGAGAAAATAAAATGAAATATCAAACAGCTGCTGCGAAAAGTGAGTAGCAACTTTGGTGCACTTCATCACATGAGGACCAGTAGATAGAATATGGCTGTTCATTTAGAATCATTCTATAGCATGCACATACATACTTCACCCACTACTGTTTGCTCAGGTGAATTTTAATCCTGGAGTTTCTATACCTTTGAAAGCTTGAGGTGGAATACTTAACATGGCATATTTCTTTAACATGAATATGAAAGAGAAGTGTGGAGGTCTGGCCGCAGATAATAAACATAAATAATTAAATGGGCTCTGGACTGTAAGACAGATTTTAATCTTATCTCCACTGGAAGCAGTACGATAGATACATTTTAATAAAATTAAAGACACAGAATACTTGTCAATATTATTTGATATTTAAAACCATGCTTGGCAGTTTTATTTTTATGGATTGGGTAATGTAATATCATTTTCACTTTGTAAAAAATATTTCTAACAGCCCTCTTCTGGAATAAAACGGTTTTTGTATGGCAAATATAGGCTGAAGGAAGGACAACTCTTTAAAGGAAATTATACTCACTCTATTTTTTCCCAGACAATATAGATTAATTTAATTTCAATCTACAAAAAGCTATTTGTCCAAATAATGCTTCCAAAAATGGCCCCTATGTGAATATTGGGTAAGCAATGGTTATGGTATACACAAAGTCAGCTGTCAGTTCAAAGATCAGTATCTCGAAAAAAGTGCATTAAGTCTCATACCTCACTGATTATGCCAGCCAAAAATAACGGTTACAAAGACATAGTAACTAGATCACAGCTAAAAAATATTATCTCCAACAGACTGACTTTCTGTAATATATTACCTGTGTTATTTACATATTATGTGGCATCCATTTCAAACCAGTATTTATTATCAGCCTGTGACCATTTACAAGTAGGAATTTTCATGACAGAAGGAGAAAAATAAGAAGCCTCACCATACTCTATATTATTTGTATGACCTCTGCCAGGGAGTTCTCTGTCACGGGGAGCCTGTCCTTTCATTATGTTCCAGTCAGCATCACCTTTGCTCAGTGGCTTCCATCCACAGAGGTCAGTCTCAAAATCACACAAGGTGTAATTAGCTGTGGTAAGAACATCAACAACAAGGGATCAATAAGCTGAACTTGATGCAACAGTTTAATGCCACAACTCTGACTTTTTTTTGTACTTAGATGTACTTAGAGTGTTGAAGAAGCAAAAATGTGTTTCAGGTTATTCAGAGGAATAACTAGTTCAAGAATACAAGTAACAGGTTGAGCAGGCCTTCCCTTTCTTAATCAAACTCAGAACCATGAAACAAACTACCTGTAAGAGAATAAACATAGTAAAGACCTGTACATAGGTTGGTGAGATATTATAAAAATAACATTAAATATTTTTTAAAGAATAATTGCACCAGTAATTTAGTTATGAACATGTGAGAAAAATCAAATGCATTTAGGGCTTAAAATATATGGAAAGCAAAGATTAATTAAGCTTTCATTTAATTTTTTTTGAAAATGAGATTTAAACTTATCAATTATTCAGATTGCCTAGAAACTTTTATTGCAAAGTAAAAGACCATTTTCTCAGTTGGTATGGATTAGACCAATTTAAATTGTATAAAAATTTCACACACTCCTACATTGATTGACTGCAAGTAAGTATTTTGATAAAAAAGTTTTATACTCAGAGTTTTCTTTGCTGGTCCAGAACAGCTTCCCAAGGCACTACACTTAACTCCTGGGGTCACTTATTGCAATTACAACCATTATTTTAGAATTGTATTTGTGACTTTCTGCTCCCACAGTACATTTATCTGACCATATCAGCCTCAGGCACGATCATACATATGACTCCAATTTTGAGATTGTAAAAAACCAAAATGAAATGCATCTTTCTTTAAGCACCATTGTAGCAAAGCTAAATAGCAAAAGTTTCCAGGAATATAGAGGTTATTTGAGCAGTTAAATCTTAAGGTACAAAATAAACCACAAATATCAGTGTCTCTTATCCGGCTTCACCATATACACTAAAATTTGATGGTCCATAGTTTTCTGTTTAGTACAGCATATATAGTTTAAAATGAAACTTGGTTAACTTATTTGATTAAATTTTCATGCTTTTTTACAAGGTATCTTTTTAATTAGACTTCAATTGCTAGTACATTATGGTTGAATATGCTAATTGATATCCAAGACTAAGCTGTTTTAGTAATTAATACTATATATAGGCATTTTGCTTTCCTTAGCTAAGCAGTCTTGAGAGAACCAATGTGACACAAAAAGGCAAACATTCTTTGCTTAAATATCTCTTTCTCCTGGCCTCCCTAAACCCCACAAAAGGTCTTCTGCATAAACAGCTGACTTCAGTATCTTCACAGTAATACCCAAAAAGACATCTATATATTACCCTATAGGCATACCAAAGAAAACAAGTTAAAATAATGGTTTAAATATTAAACTAAGATCAACATAGTACTAATAACTATTATTCTACAGCTCTAAAAGATATTTAGCATGGAAACATTTTTAAAATTATTTTTTTCTGGAGGCATTTGGAACGTCAAGAAGATTTGTTATGCTGATAAAAATAACAGCTTTTTTGTGATTAGAGCTAATCACTCATCATGTTCAACAGGAAGAGAGGTGTGGTGAAATCAGCATTTCTTACATTGGTAGCCTGTAGTAAAATTTTTTCTAACCCTATAGATATAGAAAGAAATGTATAAACATCCATTTTTTTGGATGAATATATAAGCAGTGGGGGAAAAAAAAGAGATGTACACACACCAAAACACAATCCCAGACGAAATTGGTTTTGTGCAGTCGTTTTTTTCAAACTTTATTCAAGTCTGAACAGAATTATAGAGGTATGAAGAACATTCATGTTGATGCACTTTGGGGTTGTTTTTTCTTTTGTTGATGTCCATGGTTGGGTTTAGTTTTTTGCTGATGATGATGGCTGGTTTTTTTCCTTTTGGGTGGTGGAGAGGAATAGAATATGGTAATGCTCACCATACTTTAGATGCTAAATGTTTTTTTATTACACCTTTCACTTGAAATTTAAAGCTCTAAACAAGCACCCAATTATGCAGAAACACTGACCACAGTCAGTTACCAAACCCAAGTGTTCCCCCTATGTAGTGTCTGGAAGTGATACTTCAATTTAAAATTGTAAATACACTGTAGAACAGCTTGCCATCAACTGTGAGTGAAATACACTTGTCCAAAATAACAGTCAAACTTAAATTTGATCCCTATTTAATTCTAAAAACTTAAGGGGATGTTTGCAAATGTTTAATCAAGCTTGAAAGAAAAGGTCTGTGCTTTGGTTAAAACCCAAATCCAAGTAAGACAGTTTTTCAGTGTGTTTTTTCATTCCTCAAACATTAGAAAACCTTAAGAAATGTGCCTTTCCTATCAAATATTCAACATTTTTTTCTGAACCTTCAAGGGATTATAGATAATCTTTCACTATCCATAGTAGGAAAATAAGTGACTGCACAGCCTATAGTTTTTGAGCAGTCATGCTGCAGTTAAGTTTGACATACAACTATTTTCTGATATATTATGTCCCTTTCTACTGGAATTCTCAGCAGAAGAGCTTATGTTTTATATTTCACTAGGAAGATTTCAATGGATTCAAACTGCAGATAGGTTTTTTGACATTTTGACTGGAAAATAAGCCAGTTCTCTATTTCAGACCGTTATCTTTATAATTCAGCAAAACAGAAATGAAAATAGAAAGGAAACAAAAACTTGCTTCCATTTTAACAGTAAGTCAAATTTGATTTTTTTTTTAACCCATGTGAATACATCAATATATCTTAATTAGTGAAAGAGTAAATTATTACACCATTTCTACAAAGTCCAGTGATGAGGCCAGGAAAAAAAATTGTTCCCCAAAACCTTTTTGAGTTTTAAGAATAAGTGTAGGTTAATGAAGCCATAAAATACACTGAAAAGGTTTTTCAATTAATAGAAAACCATTCCAACATATTAAAAAGAAAAAAAAAATACAACAAAAAAACCCAAAAAAAACCCAAAAAACAAACATCAAAACAAAACAAAAACAAACCAGAACAAAACAAAACACATTTTTCCAGAGCACAGAGAGGTTAAATGGGAATGTTTTTTTTTCTTTGACTAGTTTACTTTATTTGTCCCATTTCCTCATGATCCTCCAGGGGTAAAACACAGCAGTTCTGTTAACCAGGCTGGGTTACCAGCCAAGTCATACTGCTTCAGCTTTGCTAGCCTGCAACTGCATAAATGTTTTCAATCCTGCTCTGAGAGCTCAACCAAATGAACACAAATGGGGACATTCAGCTGGTCTCTCCACCAGGCTGGTTTTTCCCTGAACAACAATACAGAATGAGGAGGGTGCTCCCCTCATTCAGTATGGCAACACCTAAGTGTCTTTGGAATTTGAGGTAATAACTATCACTATAAACAGAAACCAAGGAACCTCTTTGCCATTAATATTTTGTCATTTCTGGCTAACATTTTATGTCATCCCTTGAAAATGAAGGATTACACATACACCTTCTTTCTGGTTGTCTGTGCTCTTTCCCTTCCAGTTTGTGATTAATTTTATTTACCCAGAATTTGTTAAAGGATTTGTACAGAAATGTCACAGACGGCCACAGATCATCCAGCCTGAACTTCCTCATTTCATAAGTCATTAGGCTGATGACTCATAACTCTCATAGGTGAGATGGCCTCACACCCTTCTGAAAAGACTCAGCTCGCTTGCTTAGGGTTAAGAGAGGTTAAGAGAATCTCATGTCCCCCCTTGCTCTGCAGAGGTCACATTTGTTTGGAGCTGCTCTTGTGAAACACAAAGGCAGTTCTACACAGTTCTGCTCAGCAGTGAAGTCTGTGAAAATAGCATTGGTGTAGCTCCTTGTTCTCCCCATGCACATACAATATCAATGAACAGATACTGACAATTTCAGGCAAATTCAGCATCACAGGAAATGCACAACTGTTTAGTAAAACAAATGTTTCAGACTAAAAAGTGCTCTTTCCACTTTAATGCTGAATGGTAATAAAAATATTTGTGTCCGTGCTCACCTGCTGTGGAAGGTTTCAAGGATTTGCAATTGTAAATTGCTATACTATAAATGAAATGCTGTAAAAGCTATACAGCTTTAAAATTATACAGATTTCCTTCATTCTACATGTTCCATATTCATAAATTATACAAATCCTGCAAAAAGCTGAGACTATTTAAGATAATACTAGAGGTGTTAAATTAAATGTGGAAGCAGTAAAGATGGCTGTTTTAAAAAAGCTTCTAATTAAGATAAATGGAAGTGATCCTCTTTCAGAAATACCTGTAGTATGACCCCACCCCACAATAATTTTGAATTTACATGGATGCTGATGAGCAGGTAGTTTCTAGAAACACTACTGCATCAAAATGTGGTATTACTTGAAAATAGCAAGTGCTTCCTAGACTTGTTTACAAGCTGTATTCATGGGTTTATAAGTGTTGTGAAGGTTACTTATAAATAATGTAAAATAATAATAAGTATAGTGTTTGAAATATTAGTTATTTGACACAGTATTTAGTACAAAACTTCCTTTATATTGGGTGGGAAATAAAGAAAAGGCATCAGCCTGAAAGGGATCTTTATAGTCCTTTAAATTATCCAAGTCCTTCTTCTCACTTTCTGTTTGAATATATTAACTTAGATTTTCAAAACTTGCTATCATTCACTGAAATAAAAAATTTAGGAGGGATCACAAGTAAGAGGTTTCAGAAAAGACATAATGAAAATGTAGAATTTAATAGTAAATCTGAACTTTCATAACTTGTCACTCCATTAGATTCATAGATTTTAACAATTCAAAGATGGTTACTAATATGCGTGTTTCCTAGACAATTTCCTAATTTTTGAGACTTTTAAGTCTCATAGACTTACAAATATATAAATAAATAAATATATATATTAATATATATATAAATGAGCATAGATTAAACAGAAATATTAGGAATCATTGCAAAACATTTATGTGTTTGTTCTTGTAATAAAATGTGTTATTAGAATACTATTCATGATAAATCAACATGACAAAAGAGAAACATTATTCTTAAATTCCTTATTATAATGAAATAAAGAAACTCTTAAAGGAGAGGAATCCTTCACATTAAGTAACAGCTGTCTGCCATTGTTTTTGTGCAGTAGGGGATATGTCAGCTCTTTCAGTACCTGAGAACACTTGAACAAAGGAAGCTACTGACAATATATCCAAGGATAGATGCTACAAGACCTAATAAAGGCTAAATCTGGTACATCGTTCAGAAATTTTACTGAAAATCAATATGAATTAATATAGTGAACTATAAACATCATGGAGGACAATATCAAGATCTTGTGGGAAATTGATATAATGTGAATAAAAGAACAAAGAACAAAAATAAATAAGAACTTTTTTTTTTACACCTTTTTTTCTCAATACTGTGGAAAGTGTCTGAAATATGAATCTTCTAAGCTGACCAAAATGCTGAGTAGCTATATTCCATTAGGACCATCTTTCCTGAAAAGGAGTGTGGAAAGCATGCAAGGCAATATTATCCATTAAAATTGGTCAATTTTAACAATAGTTATTGCTATTTTAAAGATGGCACATTTTTGTGTGCTCTTTTCTTCTCAGCCAGTAGTCAGAGAAATAAGCAACTAGTATTGGTACTTATACTTCAGAAAAGAACCTTTTTCCACCCTCTTTTTGGAGGATGAATGCACTTTTGTGCACTCCAATGAAATGATACCTCTTCAAACTGTGAATATTTCAACACATAGTTAATTAAATAATCCCTAATTTCAAAGAAAAACCAAAGTTAATTGCAGAAGCAGCAGCAGAGAATGGAGCACTAGGCAGAGCTATTGAAGAACATTTGCCACTGGTTGTGGCCTTCATCATTCCTTGTCCAAGCACCCTAACTCTGGAGAATACACAAAGGACAATGTTATGACCATCAGGTAATTTTGTGCCAAATCTCTGTTTTTTCTGACCCATCAGCATCACCATAATCGAATAAATATTCCCCAAAATTCTACTGTTATCTTTAAAATCCTGACTACATCTAGGTAATTTGTAATCTTTTGGGTTACCTAGCATCAATGTCTGAGGCATAAGCCTAAAAATGTTTGGAGTTATCTTAATTTTCACCATGTGTAGTATGATTAAAAGCTCCCTTCAACTATGACAATTATTTTTCATCATCTTTTGAAACCTAAAAATTATTCTTTTTTTATTTCCAGTTGCTCTACACCACAATTCTCTTTCATTGTTATGAAGTGGGGTCATTGAATTGCTGAGAAATAAAGTCCAGCTTTGAAAATACAATTCACTTTCATTCCATTCCTCCAAAAGAACTTATGAGGACTCTCCATACTCCTACCAGTGAAGGCTGGACAGACAAAGAGTTAGCAGCAGAGGGTCAAGCCTTGTAAAAATCAAAAAGAGTTCTCAGAGAGGGAGCCCTTGCAGACTTTAATGTTTGCTTAGATTCTACCCAGAGATAAAACAGTATGTACTTTCTATTTAAAATGTTATTTCAGCATTTGCACATATTAGTTGTTTCAGAGATAGCTCCCACATGGTTATTTAAGTAATTGAAAAAAAATTAAGTATTCAGACTGTGAGTTAAAAAGATGGCTTGCAGTCACCACTATTTCCTGAAGACTCACCAAGGAATTAGAAAATAAAACATTATCAGTGTTTTTAATCCTGCTACCTTGAGCAATACACAAAAATTTAATTGGCATCTCCCAGTAGCAACATATATCATCACCAGTATCTTAAATATGTACGCATTTTTTTATGTTAAACACATATTTAAGTATTACTACCACAGACAAACATACATACTTTTGCATGCCCTATAATATTAATTTTAGAAGTGATAGGGTCCCTAAAGACATTTTCACATAGAGGTCTAAAATTCAGAATTATTAGAGACATCTTTCAGTAATTTTAATTATTTTCTTTTTACTCTTCATTGTACACAAGAAACTGTGGCTTCTAAACAAACTTACCTTCAGCTGCAAATATAATGAAAATGTAGCTTCTGAACTACATTTTTTGTGGTGATTTGCATCATAGTGCAAATATCATTTCATTTAATGAATTTTCTGACAGTAATTCACAAACACTCTAAAAAACTGTAGAAAACTGTTTAGAGAACAAATCCCAGTGCAGATTTCATTCCCTTGCAAATTAGGGTTATAGAAGTCATATACAGGGAATATATTTAAGCAAATATACAGTAAATGTTGTATTTCAGCATATTATTAAACTAATTACTAGCTAAAACATGATAATGAGGCCAGACAGAGGAACACGAAGCAATGGAAAGAAGAAAATACTATGAACATTTATTTTGACCTGTATGTCATTAAATATTCTGGGGAAAAGAAGCCATATAAATTTTAAATATTTTTTCTAGTGATTGGTTGAATGGAAACATGTAGGTTTCCCTGCACTCCTCAGCAGGCTGGCCCTCTAAAGGAATGGGATTCACTCACAGCAGGTGTCTGGGTCCTCATCGCTGCCATCAGGGCAGTCTGGGTGAGAGTCACAGGCTGATCCAGGGGCCTTGGGCTGCCCAACCCTGCAGGGGGGTTCTTCCAAGGAGCAAGAACCTGCTGGCTCTGATGGTGCAGTATCCAAGAGCTGGATGCTATTCAGGCAGATGAAACCTGCCCTGCTCTGCAGTGTTCCTTTAAACACAAGCTGACAATTGTTACAATTAAAAATTTGCATTAACAGTGGAGTGAAACTGATTTTTATTTACACAATACAGTTCTAGAGGTAAAATGTGCTTCTTAATTTCCATTGCAAAACTGTGATAAATTTCAAACCAGAACCTGAAATTTTTTATGGCTATCTTGGGTTGAAATTATGGAAAATTTTTAGCTGAAGTTCGATGAATTCCAAGAGTGAAGTTAAAAAGAAAAAAAGTCTATTTTAAAGGAAAACTACCAGTCTCATAAACCTTTAGAGTAATGCCCCTGTGCTTTAGAAAGGTGTCCTGAAATTTAATATCCTAAAATCTCCATTTCCTTTCTGAAGTGTCTTCAAAAACCTCATTCTGCAGATCCCCATGAGAAAATTCCCAGTTACAGGTGTGTAAATTGGGCTGGGGAATGTCCTCAGACACCAGTTGTAATAGCAGAGCTTAACAATTGAAAACTGTCTCATCATTTTAAACAGAGGTGAAAGTGGTGAAAGCAAAAGTTGTGAAAATGAAAGTGAAAGTGGTGAAAGTGAAAATGAAAGTAGAGAAAGTGAAAGCTAAAGTAGTGAAAGTAGTGAAAGAAAAAGTGAAAGTTTTGAAAATGCTTAAAGCATTGAAAGTGCTGAAAGTGGTAGTGGTGAAAGTAAAAGTGAAAGTGGTGAAAGTGAAAGTAGCGAAAGTAGCAAAAGTGAAAGCGAAAGGTGTGAAAGTGAAACCCAAATAGTGAAAGTGAAAGTGGAGGTTGTGAAAATGAAAGCAAAAGTTGTGAAAATGGAAGTAAAAATAGTAAAAGTGAAAGTAGCGAAAGCAAAGCTGAAAGAGAAAGAAGTGAAATCGAAAGTGAAAGTGGAAGCAGTGAAAGCAAAAGTTGCAAGGTAGTGAAAGCAAAAGTGAAAGTTGTGAAAGCAAAATCGAAAGGAGTGAAAGCGAAAATTGTGAAAGTTGGGAATGTGAAAGTGTTGAAAGCGGTGAAAGTGGTGAAAGTGGTGAAAGGGAAACAGAGAAAAAAGTTAACAGAGTAAAAATCCATTTAGATTTAAGTAAAATGTACCACTTTGAGCTTACTAACATAGGTAAAATATGTTGTTTAGTCTAAATAACTACAGCACTAGCAAAGTTGTCCCAGCTAAGGAAGAGATAAGAAAGACTCCTCAAACCTTAAAACAGACAAAGCAAAGTAACCCAAGACTTCTATCTATACTTTCTAACAAAAACTAAATACAAGTGTAACTAGCTGTAAGTGTAACAGAAAATCAACAAAATAAAAATACATTAACTTTTTATAAAATTTTATATATATAAAAATTAGCCAAAATCATAAAAAAGATCAAGAGCTCTCGAAAGCGCACATATCCATTGAAAAACAATAAGTCACCACATGCGTCCACAGCGCTGTAAATAAACATACCATTCCCTACAAATCTTTAATAAAATTGTCATTTTAATAATTCATCCACGTTTCGAAAGTGGAGAAAGTGGCAAAAGTGGCGAAAGTGAAAGCAAAAGTTGTGAAAGCTAAAGTGAAAGCAAAGCAAGTGGAAAAGAAAGTGTAAGTAGTAAAAACAAACATGAAAGCGAAAGCTGTGAATGAGAAAGTGAAAGTAGTAGAAATGAAAGTAATAAAAATAAAAGTGAAAGCGAAAGCAGTGAGAGTGAAAGTGAATGCAAAATAAGTGAAAACAAAAGTGAAAGCAGTGACAACAAAAGTGAAAGTGAAAGTAATAGAAGCAAAAATGGAAGTGAAGCTAGTGAAAGTGAAAACAAAAGAGGTGAAAAGGAAAGTTAAAGTAGTGGGTATGAAAATGAAACAGAAAGCTGTGAAAGTGAAAACAAAAGAAGCAAAAACAAAAGTTAAAGTAGTGGATATGAAAGTGAAAGTGAAAGTCGTGAAAGCAAAAGTGAAAGCAAAAGAAGCTAAAAGGAAAGTGAAAGTGATAAAGCAAAAGTGAGAGCGAAAATAGTGAAAGTAATGAAAGGGAAAACAAAAATAGTGAAAATGAAAGTGAAAGTAGTGAAAGCAAAAGTGAAAGCACAAGTAGTGGAAGATGGGAACGTGAAATGTTAATAGTGTTGAAAATGTTTAAAATCTTGAAAGTGGGGAAGTGGGGAAAGTGGTGAAAGCAAAAATCAAAGTTATAAAAATGAAGGCAGAAGTAGTGAAAAAACAAAAGGGAAAATAGTGAAGATGAAAGAGAAAATAGTGAAGATGAAATGAAAGTGAAACTATGAAAATGAAAGTGAAAGTGAAATTTCTGAAAGCTAAAGTGAAAGTAGTGAAAATAAAAGTGAAAATTAAATCACTGAAGAAGAAAGTTAAAGTATTGAAGGTGAAAGCAAAAGTAAAAAAAGCAAAAGTGAAAGCAAACCTAATGAAAGCAAAAGTGAAAGCAGAAGATGTGAAAAAGAAAGTGAAAGTAGTGGATGTGAATGTGAAAGCTGTGAAAGCGAAAGTGAAAGCAAAAGAAATGAAAATGAAAGTGAAAGTAGTGGATGTGAAAGTGCAAGCATTGAAAGCAAAAGCCAAAGAAGCTAAAAGGAATGTGAAAGCAAGAAAAGCGAAATTGAAAGCGAAAGTAGTGAAAGTAGCAAAAGTGACAGCAAAACTAGTGAAAATGAAAGTGAAAGTAATAAAAGCAGAAGTGAAAGGGAAAGTAATGAAAGATGGGCATGTAGAATGTTAAAAGTGTTGAAAATGTTGAAAATAAGGAAAGGGGGGAAGGGGGGAAAGCGGGGATAGCAAAAACGAAAGTTGTGAAAGTGAAAGCAACAGTTCTAAAAATAAAGGTGAAAGCTGTGAAAACAAAAGTGAAAGTGAAAAATGTGAAAACAAAATAAGTGAAAGGAAAGTGAAAGTAACAAAACTGAAAGAGAAAGCAAAAGAACTGAAACTGAATGTGAAAGTAATGAAAGCAAAAGAAGTAAAACTGAAAAGAAAGCTGTGAAAGTGAAAGTTGTGAAACTGAAATCAAAAGTAGTGAAAGTGAAAGTTAAAGCAACAGCTCTGAAAGTTGGGAATGTGAAAGTGTTAAAAGTGTTGAAAAGGTGGAAAGTCTTGAAAAGTGGAGAAAGTCGAGAAAGTGGAAAAAGTGGAGAAAGTGGAGAAATTGAAAACCAAAGTTGAGAAATTGAAAACAAAAATTGTGAAACTGAAAGTGAAAGTTTTGAAAATGAAAGTGAAGGCGGAAGGTGTGAAAGTGAAAGCTGTTAAAGCGAAAGTATAAGCAAAAGATGTGAAAACAAAAGTGAAAGCAGTGAAAATAAAAGTGAAAGTAGTGGGAGTGAAAGCAAAAGCCAAAGTTAAAAAGCGAAAGTGAAAGCTGTGGAAGCAAAAGTGAAAGTAAAATAAGTGAAAACAAAAGTAATAGTAGTGAATATGGAAGTGAACATGAAAGATGTGAAAGAAAAAGTGAAAGCAAAAGAGGTGAAAATGAGAATGGAATAAAAATGAAAGGTAAAGCGAAAGCTGTGAAAGAGAAAGTGAAAGTAGTGGAAGTGAATACAAAAATAATAAAAAGAAATGTGAACGCGAAAGTCGGTAAAGCGAAAGTGAAAGCAAAAGCAAAAGAAGTGAAAGTGAAAACAATAGTATTGAAAGTGAAACTTGTGAAAGCGAAACCAAAAGCAGTGAAAGCAAAAGTGAAAGCAAAAGTTGTGAAAGTTGTGAACGTGAAAGTATTGAAAGTGTTAAAAGTTGTTAAAGTGGTAAAATTGTCGAAAGTGAAAGCAAAAGTTGTGAAAACCAAAGTGAAAGTTATGAAAATGAAAGTGAAAGCAAAAGAAGTGAAAACGAAAGTGAAAATAGTAAAGACAAAAGTGAAAATAGTAAAGACGAAAGTGAACGTAGTGAAGATGAAAGTGAAAGTGAAAACAATGAAAGCAAAAGTTAAATCAAAATAGGTGAAAAGTTGTGAAAGCTAAAGAAGCAAAAGTTGTGAAAGCAAAAGCAAAACTTGTAAAGTCGTGAACATGAGAGTGGTGAAAGTGGTGAAAGTGGTGAAAGTGGTGAAAGTGGTGAAAGTGGTGAAAGTGAAAGTTATGAAAAGGAAAGTGAAAGAGAAAGCTGGGAAACTGAAAGTGATAGCGCAAGACATGAAAGTGAAAGCTGGGAAAGAGAAAGTGAGAGTAGTGAAAGTGAAAGCAAAAGTAATAAAGGCAGAAGTGAAAGCGAAAGAAGTGAAAGTAAAGGTGAAAGTAATAGAAGTGAAAGTGAAATTAAAAGTGAATTAAGTTAAAGCGAAAGCAGTGAAAGCGGAAGAAGTGAAAGTTGTGAAAGCAAAAGTGAAAGCGATAGTGGGGAAAGTTTTAATAGTTAAAGCAGCAAGCAGGAGGAATAAAGCTTGGATTAATAAAAAAGATTAGGATGGCAATAAAAGAAAGCACTGAGGAAGAAGGAGAAGGAGTTGGAGGAATAAATAAAAATGGATTTGTGGGTTTTCACAGGCTGGGACATGATGGAAGTGTGATTCTCAGAAAGTAGTTATATGAAAGAGTCAAAAAGTAGTGCGTAAGAGTATCTGACAAAACTTAAGGAAACCGGTCTGATTTGGGGCATAAGCAGAAGGATCTAGCACACTCCCCAAAGCCTGGGAATTAGGTTGAAGTGAAATCTCAAGAGGCATTTTTCTTTCTAAAACATGAGTTATACAGTCATTGTCTTCCACTAGAGAAAATTTCTTCAAAATTCTAAAATTCATCTAATACTTTCCATGCCCTCTCTACCAGTTCAAAAAACACAATGCTGTGCTGAAAATATGACATAAGCACAAATTTAAAGGTAATGTTTCCTCTCTTAAGTGCAACGGATCCTTTCAGTCTTTGTACAAGAATACAAAGTTTTGGCTCACTACTTATATACATATAACCTAAGCAGATGTTTAATTATTTTTAGATACTACAGATAACTTAGTTACACATCTGTTTGTTTATTCAAAATTGTCCTTGTGGGAAAAGGAGAGACAGGCAACAACACAACCTTAGAACCTACTAGCTTACTGAAATGCATTCATTCTAACATTTGTCAAAACATCAATTCCTGCAGTGGGCTTAGTTTTTGTCCTTTCATAGAGATTATGTTTTCAGTTGATTGCTAAAACAGTGAAATATGATGGCTATTTACAGAACTACCACCAAAAAGAAAAAAAAAAAAAACAAAAAAAACCAAAAACAAAACCAAAAATAAACTGTAAATGGAAAGTCACTTAAAATGGAAATGTGTAAATTAATACAAAAATTAAGTAGCTGCAATTTAGTATTTATCTCTGTGTCAAATTTCAAAGAGAAGGTATCTTCCCAATTAGTGGTTTACATAATTCCACTGAAGTTCCATAAAAATTATTTACATCATCTCACTTAATAGTATATGTACATTTAAAGGAGTTGGTAATTCCCGAGTTGGACTCAGATGGCTAATTAGAATTGGATGAGATTTGTATTCATTTTCTTGCATATTATTCAAGTGCAGCAGCATCTGTATGTCATGGTTGTGTAGATGTTTTCTTGAGCTACAGACAGAAATTCGCTCATACTGAAACAATGAAAAAATAGCAAGACATTCAATATACACACAATTTTAACTAATTTTTAGGCTTCCTAAAACAACAAAGTAAAGGATCTTCAAAAATTGAGCACATGCCTTTTTCATTCATACCTTTATATTTTCTAGGCCTATTGGTAGCTGTATATTCATTTTGACCCATTCCTTCTTAGTCATGATGTTGGTTTCCCACAAGACATACTCCTCCTGTAAAATGTAGAAAACAATGTTATAAAGATCATTTTTGTTTGTCCAGGAGTTGAGGCCATTTTTTATCCATCTTTTCATCTCCCAGACAAACAACCACTATATACAAAATTGCTCTATGTGAAAAAATACAGCTTCTCATATTCATTTGCAATCTTTGCATTGAGGTCCATTGAAGAGAGGGAAAACAACACATTTACTGTGACTAAACAGACTAATAATATATTTATCAGGCGTTGAATTGGCAGAATTAATGTCAATTAATATGTAAATTAAGCCATGTTATTACTGAATTTAACAATATGTTTCCATGGTGTTCTCCACATAAGCTTCCTTTTCATAAATAACTGCTTATATTATTGTTGTGTATTTAATTAGATTCAGTTGTCTTAGAACTGAAGTTTGGGTCTGCCAGAATTACCCAATCAATTGTGCTAAAAACTTTTTTTTTTTTTTTAATCTGTAAAGCAAGCACACAGAGTACAATCTAACAACTTTTACTCATGACCTGAATTACCTTAATCCTCCCATTTTAATTCCACCTCCTAATGGTAACAGGAAGAAGGTATGGTAAGGCTGTCTTTATGCAAGCACTGCAAGCCCTTTTGGTTCAATAATCTGACAAAAGTATCTCATGCTCACTCTGCTTCTGGTCATGATCCTACTTGGAACATACTGAGGCATAAAGGCGGCAGAAATTTGAACTTTATATACCCACACAAAATCTTTTCAAGAAGCAGTTGCAAAATAGAGCAAAACTTAAAAGACAAGAAAAACCCGTAGGAAAAGTTAATATAAGCTATACATACAGACAGACTTATCATTAAAAATATCAATATTGAGACTACTTTTAGGAAGCTGCAAAGTATTCATCATACCATTTCCACAGTCTATTACAGAATTAGTGGCAGTTCAGAAAAAGATGCAAAGCAGGATAAGAGAAATGGAGAGTCTCTTGTATGATGAGAAATTGAAAGTATAAAAACAATATCTTACAGGAGATTAATAAAAGGGGTTATGATAGGCATGTGAAATGTTATCAATAATATAGACATGGACAGTTATCTTTTTGCTGTTTTATAATATAAAAGAGAGGAGAAAAGTGTTGTCTACTGCTTGATAGGCTGTGAGCCAGCAGAAGAACATTGAAATTATTTGTGCTGCGCAGACAATTACTTCTCTTTTCCTACCAAGGCCATTCTGATATATTATAAAGCTGGAAGAATAAATCCCCATTGAACATGTGTTCAAAGATCACAAAAAAAAAAAAATTGATAACTTCAAAATAGGGCCGAGGCAACATACTAATTTCAAACACTCAGTGACAGAGAAGATCAAATTGGATAAAGCACATGGCATACTTGATTTCAGAAACAAAAGTCAGCTGTGAGTTTCTACATTAGTATAGGATGTATTTGTTCACTTCTTTACATGACATATTCAGCAAAAGTCTTTCAATATTGAGAACACTTCCTTCTGTGTAAAACTTGCTTCATTTTACTAAATAATTCAGCTTCTAAAGGAAATCTATCAGCCTACATTAGGCACACATGAGACACAGAAAAGGATGATGTACTAGGAACCATACTGCACGGTAAGTTAAAACCATAGGCTGCAGTTAAATCTCTGGTCTTATTTAACATGCTCCCCACCACCTGCATGTAAAAACCCTTTAAACACATTTGTATATCTTTTGGGGAGCACTGCATTTGCTGTGTATTTGACTGGATGTACCTCAATACTATAATTTCGTTCACATTCAGATAACAGCTTAGAAACCCATCCCCATGACCATTTTTCTCCCAAACTAATTTTACTACAAATAGCTTATAGCAGTAAACCTGAGTTTTCTGCACAGTAGCTAGACCTTCTGGAATTTTTATTTACACTGAAAGCTGTAAGTCACCTCGGATGAAACAATATTTTAAGCAGATTTTACCCCGTGATTTTATACAGCTCTAATACGTCAACAATAATTTCTCTTCCTCATAATACTTGTAGTATTCACCCTACTTGTCATATTCTTCTACCTCCTTGCTCCAAATAGGTTAACCCCTCTAGCACATTCCTTGTGTCACTAGCTTTCTTCTAAAATATGGAAGGTGTTGTTTTTCCAATACTTTCCTTCAAGATTTATTTTGGTGACGCAGGGGAGCAGCTGCTCAAGACAACTTTATTTCCCTTACTAGGATATATTACTATCACTAAACAACCTTTTGTAAAGCTAAAATGGAAAAGAATTGTTCCTTTTTCCCAAAATGTTTGGGGTTTTTTTGTTTGGTTTTGGTTTTTATTTTTCCTGAGATAATGCTGCTCAGATTTGAAGGATGGAAGAGAAATCACAACTTTTTATAAAGGTCTCCATCTATAAAATACTTTTTATCTTTTTTTTTTTTTTTTTTTACATTTCTCTATCAATACTTGCACTGCTGTGCAACTGCACCCATTATTTGGTCCCTACTTCTCTTTTCAGAGTGTAATTTGCAACAAAAGCTTATTTGCTCGCCCACAATGATTAATCAACTTTATCTTCTGCAGAGGAGTGTACTTACATGACTTTTGCAAGTGTTGTTAAACATATAGAAAAATTTTAGTGCATGAGGATACAAATATACTTGCATGTATAAGCATTAGTTGAAATTATCTTTTATTGCTTAATTTCTGTATTTTTCAAAGCCATACAAGATGTAAAGATTAAGACAATAAAAGGAAGAATAAGCCCATTACTTAAGTGGAGTAACAAGAAATTAATAAACATCAAGTGATAGACTCAACATTATATTATTTGGTTTCTCTTTTTGCCAAAAATGTTAAAATTTATCTGTCAGTTAACAGAAAGTGAATTTTGTTAATTGAATGTACAAACTGGGGAATGAGATCCTGGAAAGCAGTGACATGGAAAGGGACCTGGGGATCCAGGTCAATGACAATCTGAACATGACCCAGCAGTGCCCTGGCAGCCAGGAGGGCCAGCCCTGTCCTGGGGGGCATCAGGCACAGCATGGCCAGCTGGGCAAGGGAGGGATTGTCCTGCTCTGCTCTGAACTGGGGCAGCCTCACCTCCAGTGCTGGGGGCAGTTCTGGGTACTACAATATAAAAAAGAGATTAAACTGTCCGAGTGTCCAAAGGAGGGCCATGAGGATGGTGAAGGGCATTGAGGGGAAGCCATGTGAGGAGCAGCTGAGGCCTCTTGGATTGTTCACCTTGGAGGAGACTAAGAGAAAACATCATTGGAGTCCACAACTTCCTCATGAGGGGAAGAGGAGGGTCAGGCACTGATCTCTTCTTTGTGCTGATGAGTGACAGGACCTGAGGAAATGGCCTGAGGTTGTGTCAGGGGAGGCTTATGGTGGGTATTAGACAAAGTTTCTTCCCCCTGAGGGTGGCTGGGCACTGGAACAGCTCCCTAGGGATGTGGTCACAGCACCAAGCCTGACAGAGCTCAAGAAGCATTCAGACAATGCTCTCAGACACATGGTGTGACACCTGGGGTGTCTTGTGCAGGGCCAGGAGTTGGACTTCAATGAGCCAGTGTGTACCTTCCAACTCAGGACGTTCTATAATTCTGTGAATATTTTATGTTAGTTGAATAATTAATATTGCTAAATGGGAATTCAAATATGGACCAGAATAGACAAATAATGTTAAAAATACGTATAAGCCGGAAATACTAAAACTGGAATGGAATCACAAACTTTTACGTAAAGATTGCATACTGGAAATAATACTTTACTATCAACAGCAAGCTCTGAGAACCTTAGGAGAATGTGTTGTTAATTAGATAATTGGGAGAACAAAAGACACATATGGCAGCTAAGGGATAAGTACAGTATGCAATAATAGCCAAGATGCTGAACAACACTTAAGACACTGGAACAAATTGGTAGCAACCTTGTAAGCTGCTAGAGAAATAGAAACTGAGAAACCTATATTAGCTGCTTCTGATGAGGAGCAAATTGTGCTTAGGAGTATAGTATTTTTTTTTCATCATAAACAGACTTGCAAATTATTTACTTTACTGTATTAAGGTTTTTAACAATCTTACATAACACATGCTTTAAAAAAATTGTGGAGATTTGCTGTAATGAAATTACTGTAACATGTGTGTGCAAATAGAAATGTGAGCTTATTTCAAAGAGAAGATGTCAAAAGTTTTCTATTAAACTAAAAGAAAACTATAATAATGTTCTGCATAGGTCTGTTCCAGAACCTGATATAATTATAGTGCTGACTAACTGACTGGAGAGTGTGGAGAGTGAGACGAAAAATAGATTTCAAAACAATATAGAAAATACTATATTGGGAGGAATTACAAGCATTGTCAAGAACAACATTCACATTTAAAATCATCTCGGTATACGGAAACCAGTTTCCAAACCAATAAGTCAAAGTTCAAAGACACATGAGTCACAATTAAGAAAGAAACATCACATACAGCAGTGTTTAATTAGGAGCAGTTTGGAAAACCAACAAGAAAAGAGGAAAAGCTGCAGATTATCATGGACTGCAAAGTAGATGTAAGTAAACAACACGTTATTATTATTTTCCTTGTCCTTCTTCATACCCAAGAGCAATTTAAATTCCTTGTCTTCCAATTGATACCACAATGTCTATATTAGAAAATATGTTCACTCATCTTTGCTCCCTCTGTTGAAAGAGTGAGGAAGGTCAGGGATAAATTTATAACATGTGTCACTTGCCTCTAAGAACAGTACTGAAACTGCAATTTGAGTATAATCCAGTCTCCAAGTGTGTTGGGCCTGTCAGTTCTGGGATTTCACAAGAGTTATTCAAAGAGAAGAGGTTTTGATCAATAAATACAGCAATAGGATGCGCAGGAAACTGCAAGGTACACACAGCTGAGAGGCTGTTTTGAATGACAGCTTTCAGGACAGCAGCTCTGCTGTCTTACAGTGTCACAACAAGCACTCAACTCTCACTTCTATTTCCTAGTATTGGCTAGTTTCAAAGATTCATTTGTCTTTCATAAACAACCTAATGATTCAGTAGCCAAATGTGAAAAAGTCAACTCTCCCTTCATTTCAATTTAAGAAGTCTTAACCATGAGTCTGTACATTATTTTATTTTTCCTGAAACTACCAGCAGAAGCTTATGTTTCTGAAGATTTTTCTGGCAAATTTTGCAGTATGAGTAACTCACATGATCTTTAAATAAGTCTATGTGCAATAAATACACTTATGATTGAAGGGGAAATTTAAAAACTAAAACATAAAAGGGCTAAGAGAATCTGTGGAAACAGAGTGGACTGATGTAATAAATGCCAGAAAATGTTCTTCTAATGAGCATGTAAGGACCAGTTTATCAATTAATTCAATCTAGGCTCCCAGTTCTATGGGAATTTATATGTCAGTTTTCTTATGGTTTTGACTTACATAAGTTGCTCTGTTTTCAGGGAAAGAAAACTCATGAAGTGGATCCATTGATGCTACTTAGGTGAACTGCTGAAATCAATATTCCTGTTCTGTCTCAAGGTTGCTGCGAGAGTGACACCTGGGAATTTTTTGGCAAGTACTATGGCACAAAAATCCATGCATTCTGACCAGAACACTGATTTTGTTACAATTCCCTGACACAGTAAAGGGTCATAGAAAAACACAACTATTTGCTTTTATAAATGAAACATGAGCAAAAGCCTGGAGTTGTTTTCATTCATATTCAAAGACACAATCAGAAAGAAATTATTTCCATTACCTGTTCTTATTTTAAAACCTTTTGGTTGTGTTATACTTTGGGGTTTTTACCTAATCTTTGTGAATGAAGTGGATCTAATATTTAAATATGCATATTTTTGGGTAATAAGAATTCACCTCATATCCATCAAGATATGAGAGCCTTTAACTTCATGACAGCAGCTCTACTGATCTTGCTTTCATTAAGTAGCAGTGCATGCATCAATACTAACCTATTAAACCAGACTTCCAAAAGCGAACATCCTAATAGTAGAAAGTCTCACAAGATAGGCGAGGTAAGTGTCAGTGCTTGGCACCAGTTGACAGTGGATGGGAACTGACTGTCACCATCAGTTCATCACCCTGCTGTAAAACTTTCACACCTTCTCTCTGGGAGTTCTCATGGGCAGCTCCACTGACTCCTTTTCTCTTCCTTCCCGACGGCCGACTGACTCCTTCCTGTCCCTTACACAACCACCCGATCCTTACTCCTCACAGCACAGCCAACTGACTCCAACTCTCCTCCCAAGCAGCGAATCCACTCTTTTATAACACCCATCCTTATTGGACACAGCTGTGACCTGTTAAGGGCAAGGCTGTTCCTACTCTTTGGCAATTAGTTCAGCAGCTGCTCCTCGGGGGAGAGATGGCTTCAGCACTATCTCTGTTCTCTTACAATCCATTCTCCCTCAGGTAAGAAAGATGGAAAGAGTTTACAATGCTCAACTGACATTTGTGTTTCATTCTGGCAGGGCTCTTTTATCTACTAATAGGTAGAAGAATAGAAAAATTACTGCTCTAACACTTGGGCAAAGCAAAGCGGGTGTTTAATCAAGAACTTCCCAACTATCCTGAGCCAACAACCTTTTTTTAATATGTCTCTGTAGACAAAAGCACCTATTTTCTTAATTCCATAACAGGGAGAAGGCTAGAAAAGCTGTTACTATAGATTTTCCCCCTGAAATCTGCAATTGATTTAATTCTGTAATAGCTGGGTTTGTCCTTAAAGCATTATTGCAGAAGCTTCACCCATCATATCAGTTCACAGCTGAGATGGTGAACACCCAGGTTTTGCAAGTGCACAGACCAGTGGAATTGCTGGAAAACCAGTAACCAAGTTACTTTTTGCACAAGCTGACTCAGGGGACAGGCATGCAGCAGCAGGGGTATCCTGCATTTTGTCTGGTAACACCTGGGCTGCCATACCTTTACCTTTTGGAAATGAACACTTTTCTACTTACCTGATTCATAAGCAGTACTATCTTGAGAACACTACTATCTGCCATGGAGTAGTGAAACTGAAAATGGCAAGTCTTGCTGGAGCAATGACACATGGAGCTGTTTAGATGGGCCCTTTCATATAATGCCTTGTCATTAGTTTCTAACCATTCAAAATGGCCTGAAGAAAAAAGGAAAGGAAATAAAGGTCACTTCTTCATAAAACATTTTTTTCCTCAGTCTTAAAAATAAGAACTACTCTCATGTAATTACAGTTTCATTCCAGCAAGAATGAAATCTGATCATCATGTTGATGATGTGACTTGGATGTCATGTATATCCTATTAAATAGATTAAAAATATATATATATATATCTTCATTTTACTCACAGATAGCCCCAGCAACCACAAATTACATCAGTAATAGTATTTCAAAGTTTTTACTTTGCATGCTAAAACCTGCAAGAAGTCCCAGCTTAGCCTCCTTACATTTACAACCATTCAATATCCAATTACAAATATATGTGGAAACGGGGCTTTCTTCCCACTGTGGTTTTAAGGAAATATGCTTTTTACAGCAATGCTTAGAAAAAAAAAAAAAAAGAAAAATTGTCATCTGCATTATTGCTACAGGAAGCAGTCACATCACTATGTAATCAAGGTCTTCTCAGACAGAACTTCTGCAACAAAATGTTGGAAGCATATTGTCTTTTTACCTGAAGCAGAAAAGCAATTTGTGCTCTTCTTGACTTTCTGACCCTTATAAAAGCATTCCTACAAAGATCTAAAGGAGTTCTCCATCCCCTCAACAGTGTCTATTAGTTTTCAGAAATAAAAAGGCTAAATACTTTTTACTAAATATGTCAGCTCTTTCCCTGCCTCCTCAGTCACTGAATACTTTGCTGCCTTCTGCAGCAACTATTAAAATAATAAGCAATGACTGATTAAAGGTCTTAAGTCTGCAGTTTCTGTGTTTATTTATCTAAATACAACTTATCTCAAAACAAGGAAAAAGTACTTTCTGAACAGTATTATAGGGGAATAGAAAACCTCTGGAAGAACTTTCGATGCTAGAGAAATTAATAGGAAAAATGATAGATAAATTGCCTAAAATACAAAACTAGAGAAGCAAAGCAATAAGGGAACAAATAAAAAAGGTCTTCCAAGGACAGAAAGTATTTTATTAAATTTAGGGACACAAGCAAGGGAAGATTATTCAAAGGCTGTAAGAAATCTTTTCTTTATATATATATATGTATATATATATATATATATATATATATATATATATATATAATTGTTTAGACCTCTTTTTTATAATTTTATTTCTTACCTCTCTTCTATTTATAGAAGTAAAAGCTTTGATCAAACTCAGAATATAAAGCTTAGTCAAGCTCTATTTGCATTGCAAGTGAGCCCTCAAGCATCGTATTTTTGCAGTTTTCATACCATGTCTTTAGTTTATAGAATATTTTTTTATATTCAGCCTCTTCATTTATGTCTCAACACATCTGCATGAACAGAAATACTGAATGTATTGAAAGGTCAGCAATCACAGTTCAGATTTTTCAATGCTTTTCAATGTTAATGATGAATTAAATTCTGTATGTTGTTTTGATGCTTGTTTTTTCACACATTTTCATTTTTCTTTATGACTGCACAGGGAATTTCTCTAAGCAGTTGGGGAAATTCAGTCTACTCAGCTGCCTGTGCATATCCATACAATGATGCCCAAGCAAGCACCTATGCAGGAAATATTTCCAAATATATTCTCTTTCCATAGAAAGTGCTTGTAATACATTCCTGTAAAAATCCTTACAGAATTTCAATATTTTTGTGTTCTCAATATTGCCTTAAAAGGGAAATCCATACCTTTTACTAGTCCTTAAGATGTCATGTTAAGGTGTGGCACAGATACAATGACTTTATGGGAGGTTTTTCAAATAAAATCAAATGAAAAGTCTCTTGTTTGTTAGATACACCAGTGGAAATTGGAAGATGATATGACTCTGCAAATTTAAGGGGAAAATAATCTGCTTTACACTATGCTCTTCATTATGCGTACCTGCAAAAATTACTTTTAACATAGTGTGTACACTCAGGCATTTGTCCTTGCTATTCAGCGATAATTTGACTTACAGATATTTGAAATTAATTCTAAAGTATCTTTTAAATTTTTTTTAATAAAAACAATATCTAACATGCATTCAGATTCTATCTGTGAGATGTGCTCCATTTCTGTGGGTTCAAAGTTCAAGCAGTAATCTCCATAATATAATTTCTTCAAAGCTGCATCACAAACTACTTTAATACAACTAGCAGCACTTGACCCCTCTGAAGGCAGTCTCAGTACACAAGGCAAACACTTAGCAGGCAAGATAATTCCATCTCACAATAGAACACTTAGAGATTTACATCATTAAGCTTCAAAAACCTTTCCCATAAACCCATAGAGACATACTACACAGTGACTTCAAAAACAAGTGATGCTCCTTACTTAAAATTGCATCTGGAGTAATTTTATTGATTTTAATGGTAGGGCACTGTTTTCTAGAATAATTGTTTATTTACATTTGCCCCAGTAAAAGTTATAAAATGAAGTTCCAGACTGTATGCTCAAGCAGAGTACAAAGTCAAACTGCCAAGTACCAAAATCTAAACAAAAGGGAAAAACACACATATGGGGGCATAGATGAATTTGATTTAATTTCACCAAATTCTTGCACAGATCTCATACAAAGAATAAACTGGAGAATAAATCAGCTATTAGTTTATATTACAATTCTAATGTTAAAATATTTAATGAATACCTGAAAATAAATCATTAATTCTTACACTAAAATATTTTATGTCTTATCAGAAGGAGTGCTCATGATGTCCTTATTAAACAGCCAAAACAAAACCTAAGTTAAGTACAAAATACATACAAGTATTTTTTGTAATTTTGTTCTGGTTTGGCATTGAGGCACCATCTTTCCATAAAAAGCACTATATTCTTCATGACAACTAGTAATTTTGAGTTAAATTAAATCCCCACCTTCAGTATCCTTGCTGGAATCCTCCAGGAAGGAACAGGAGGCAATCTTGTGCCCAGTTTGCAGCCGTGCCCCCTGAGCAGGCTCAGCTGGCTGGTCTGAGTGCCACTCACACACACCAAGCTCAAAAATGGAAATCTGTGGTACTAAAAGACAAGAAAAACCAATCATTTCTTAAAAAGTCATTCTTTATGAGACTATTTCCCGTTAGAAAACTATGCTTATTAAACACCTTGGCAACATTTCTTCTTCTTCAAAAGGTTACTTCAAAAGCCCTGTGCATCCCTTATTGCTGCCCTGTATTTCAGCCTGCCATCTTTAAATATTCTAAGGAATCATTCCCTCCAGACAGAGGCTTCTTTCAAAGCAATGGAGTGCTATTTATGTTAGCCAGTCATCACAACCTTCATTAATTCAATTCCACTGAGAGAGTTGCCAGGTAACATAAAAACTGACATGTTTTAAATACCTATTTACTTTTCTAGGTGATAGCTACAGAAAAATCACTTTTAACTGAGGTTAAACTCAGCAGCATCTCCACAATGCTTATAATAGAATACCACTTTCTAGAGACAGAAAGGTTCTGAATGCATCACCACATGTTTTCGAGAGCTTTTTAAGGGCACAGCATGCTTGACTAATCTAGCTGCCTTCAGCAATGGCCAAGATTTTAAGCAGGATTGCACTATGACAATGACGTTCCACTTCTTAATGTTATTGCAGGGGGAAGGTAATCTCCTGCTTAAGACACATTATTAAATAGCAGTCAGGATATCTCGGAGGAAACACAGAGATTTTTAGCTATATGGAGAAAACAGTTTCAGGTTAGTTTACCTAGATGTTACTGTCTCCTTCATCTGAAAGACAGAGTATTATTCACATTACTGACACCTCAGTGAAATGGGCTGTCCAGGCAGTGCTGCAAACCTTTCATTTATTCCCTGTTCCAGGGCTGAATAAGAGTGCACTGTTTTCAAACCATGTGTATTATCCAAGAAAGTGCTTGTCAAAAACTTGTTTCCTATGAAAAATGCAAAATTCTACAAGGGTCTGGAAAAGGATGGATTTTGTCAAATTTCAGCATGCAAAAAAAATTTGAAAATTCATTCAAAAGGAATCAAGATCATGTTTTAACACTTTTGAAGTATTGATACAAAACATTTTGAGTCATTCTGTGGAGTTTTTTCTTTAATTTAGTTTTATATATTTTTAAGGTTGTTTTGTTTTATCAAAATACCCATTTTCTAGCTCTTAATGCCACAGCACATTAGACAAAATTAGTATTTTGGATTTTCTGACTCCCTTCCCTGTAGCAGCTCATCTCAAATACCTGCTTTCTGTAATATTAAAGGCTGCGTCTTTGCAGAATTAGAATTAACAAAGGAATTAACATTAAGATTTTGTCAGTTGAAGTATTCTTATTGGATTTTTGTCAAAATTTATACATTATAAGTAGTACATAAATAATAACTTCAGTTTCCCTGGAAAAAAAACCCATAACTTTGCAGTGAGCTTTGTCACTTTTGCATTACAAGTGACTTAAGGAGGACAAAAACCTCATTCTACTTTATAGCACTCCATTTTCATGCCCTGGGGCTCTTTTCTTTCATCTCCATATAGAGATCAGAAGAACAGTCTTAATGGGGTTCTTCACATATATAATTTTTTGGAAGTTGTGAGAGAATTCTGCAAAGCAGCCACTTGGATAAGAATATTAAGCCTTTGAACATAAGGTCTACTAAAGGTATAATTAAAGGAAATTTTACATTTTGTGTGTTTCAGAAAATAACTTCATATTTTCTATCTTACAAAGTTGTTTGTTTTTTTTTTTTTCCCTGCAGCCTATACTCAAATATATGATAAAGAACTGTGGGTGTTTTGAGCGATAACAAATTATTGGGCAGCTGTTGGGGAAACTACAAACTGTAGAGTATCTTAAATTGCTATACTGAAGATAGGGTTTTACTTGCACTTTTTTTTTAAAGCATGAAGTTTTGTCTTTCAGCAGAACTGGACAAGAGACTGAAGTGGGACAGTTTGGGAGACAGGGAGGGATGAAAGGGAAGAAAGAACCGAAAGCATAATGAAATTACTTTTATATTTAACCATCGCAGTTTGCATCAAGAAACTCTTGAAAGCACAAAAATTTAAGATATTTTACTCACAACCCTAAAATCATAGCCATGCCAATGAATAGAAATGCCCAGGCCATCTCTTTTGTGCATTTGTACCAGGATAAAACATCACGAAGAGTACATTAAAAATGCAAGTCTTAACTAGGGATTTAATGAAATTCAAGTGGTTTTCATTAAACGCCTACTTATCCAGACATTCCATAAGGACTAGAGAAAAAAATATTTCAAATTCAACCAACCGTTAGACTGACCTTTTGTTTTAATAATTGGAAAATGTTCAGTAGTAACACTTCTCTTTCAGGGAGAAAATTAAGATTCTTTGACCCTGTTTTTTAGCTGCTGTGAGCCATTTAGATGTCACCTAATGAAGCTGACTTTTCCTAATGAGGAAACACAGGATAAGAACTGGCTCTTATTAGACTATACCTGAGGCACTTAACAGTGCAGCAGCTCAATCTGTAAGCCACAGCATGGAGTTCAACAGCTGCCATGAAAGGTAAATTCAACACCTGGATTTATAAGATATGGTGAAAACATACATCAGTTTCTTTTTTTTTTTTTTTTTTCCTCTTCCATCTCTTTGAGACAGTGTTTCATCTTTTAGCTGAGTTCTTTTGGTTTGATTTGTTTTTGCTTTAGAAGAACCTTGTTAAAAAACTCAGTGTATTTTTACAAACAGATCTCCCACAGCAACTGGTTAAAGCAGTACCTAGGTTTCTAGAATTAAAGAAATCTAAATATATATGCCTGCTGGCATCATTAAATTAGGATTTGTTACTTGCTCTTAATGTGATCTGCTTGAAACTGCTTAGCACTCTAACATATTGATACCCATGTGCATCTCTTTTCAATAGTTTTTTCCTACAGGGAAATCTAGAGAGCATTATTTAGGAGTATGGTAAATGCAAAACCAACCATGTAACCTAGCTTGGTCTTTGTCAAACACTGTTTTTAATATCTCAAGTTAAGTTTAAAGTTTAAACCCTCTGTGCCCATGCCAAGAATAAAATAAAGAAAAACAATGGAGGTGCTTTGAATCAGAACTGCACTCACCTGAGGATGTGACAGAGGTGCCAGAGGGGAATACTCTGGTGTAATACAGAGCAGCAAGCAACTTAATTTATGCTAGGATGGGTAGCACTCCTTTTCCATGAAAATACATTGGGTTGGAAAGGGAAATAGGAAATGTTTTGCTGAAGAATTCTGACATGCAGGGATGGTCTGACTGCAGAGATGACCAGCCTGACATTACAGCTCTTGGATGCAGCAGAGCAGAACAGCATAACCCCACTGCAGAGCTGAGGATCAGGACCTTCTTGCATTTAGAAATACACGAGTGCCTTGGGAATCTTCATAGTCCGCTCCAAAGCTGTGCCAGAGCTGGCTGAACACATCAATTCTTCAGCCAAAACGAGTAGATCTTTTTTATCCATGGAGCCCTACATTTATAATGTATCAGATTTCTTAAACTATTTATTGTCTTTCTTTGTAACTGTGTTTAGATGTGAAAAGACAGATGATTGTTTAGGGAAATGAAAATGAGCCAAATGAAAACATTTTAAGAGTTAAAAAAGCAAAACAATTCCATTGTATTTTCTCTTTTAATCCAGGGAAAAGACAATGTAAAATGACCTGTCTTCTGAAAAACAGGTATTCTTACCATGTGCTACAGAACATCCTTCACTAAAGGTAATATCATCAATGGCAACACTTTCACCTTGTCCCTGGGTCTCCACCATCCCCGAAAAAATAACCTAAAGAGATTAACAACAAATCAACAAGAAACAGAGTTTGTCAGTGTCACAGACAAAACAAAAAAAGCACACAATATATGCCAGTCAAGTTCATGGAGTATCTAATGGAAATATGAGAACTCTAATCACATATTTAACAATTTTGAAGGACTATGATCCTGGCCTTTTGACACAAATGTGGCTTTTTTTACCTGAGCACAGATAGGTAATCCAATCATCTAACTCAAGATTAAAGTAGAATTTAATGGAAGGATCTGAAAATCACAATAAAATGCCTTAAAATCTAAGCAAGGATCATGACAGTTAAAAAATAGAACACAAAGGATTTTATGTTTTATCAAGCCATTATTCCACCAGAGACTAGAAATATGAACATTTTCTGGTTGATTTTAGAATTTCTCAAAAGCATGGTGAAAAGTCAGAGCGAAAAAACCCATTATTCAGAAGCCTTTAATCACATTTTTAGGCAAAAAGCCTTGAGGAGTACTTGGTTGACAGTTATTCTGCTCTAATGTTACAACAGAGGGGTTTCTTTCCCCACCAGTCTTCTATACACAAGAAGTTACAAATATTTTACTTTTCCATCTTAAGGGCAGATTTCAATCCACATTTGTAAATGCCTAGACTATTACACATTTTCTGCAGTGGTGTACAGGGCAACTGACTGATCAATTGCAGTCCTGGGAAAACAGAACAAAAACATACTAATCAAAACAACTCAACAAATCAATCTTATTAATAACTTTCCTTAAAATATTCCCTAGCCACATCTTGGGATGAAACAGTTCCAGGATTTTCTAGGGTCTTGGAGGTACGATCTACTTAGAGGTACATTCTAGCTCCTATGAAGGAATTCAGAGTGTTACCAATAATTTTTCAAACACTAGCTTGAGAGTTCAGCAACAATATCATGCATAGTTTAACAGATTAATGCAGGAAATCTATAAATTACAAAGAACTGAGTTTTTCACTGTACAAGATGACACAACTTATCCAATGATATGACCATTATGGTATGAATTGGAGGTTTGTTTTCGTTTTTTTTTTTTTTTTTTTGAGAGATGTAATATTTTGTCTTTTGTTTGTTTTACTGAACCTGCAGTTGGCTTGCACAAGAAAAATGGCAGCCATACCACATTCAAAAGTATGTTTATATGAATGAAATGCAGAATTTTGGAAATGGAAATGTGCTCATTTGATCTGTTTCAGAAAACAGTATTTTGAGTTCTGGAATTCTGCTGCTGTTCAGTTAATGGTTACTTTCATGATATCACAACAAGGACAAATAGCATATTCCTACTTTTTGTTTCTATCATGGCATGGTGTCAGATAAGTTCCTAAAACAATACAGTGCACTGTTTTAAAATTAGAAACACCAGAAATATTATTTAATATCAATGATTTGACAAATATTTTACCTTTGCACAGTAATGTTTCATTCTGAACTCAAGATCTAGTTGTTAATAACTTCATTTAAAATACATATCTACCTATAGCTTGCATCTGGGATTTCATAGTCAGATTTTTTTATATAGTGAGAAAAAGTGATTTAGACAATGCTAAAGAGGGAGTAGCTCACTTTGCTGGAGCAAAATCAGAGGCCGCTTCAAGTTCATATTCCATCAGAGCACACAAAGTCTGTATGAACCTGTGCTTCCTCAAAACTCTTGAACAGTTGCTCAGCTTCCCCTCTTCCAGAAGATAATATTACTAGATGCCTCCTGCTGCTCTTGTGTCTAGAAAAGATTATCCAGGCTTTATCTGGTGCAGATACCCAGCTGAACTTCCCTAAGTTCAGTCCAATAACAACCAAAGTGACTCACACACAGGTTTTCTCCAGAAAGGAACAATTCAGTTTTCCTTCTCACACAAAGTCTAGAGCTCTTTAAGCTCACAAGTCAGTAACAAAAAAAGTCTTTATGGCACTATTTGCTCATAACTGCAATGATATTTATCTGTGCAATATCTGTGAGCACCAGATCAAATTGAACATTGCAGCTCCATTAGTGGTATGGAAGGTGCAGTGGGGCTGCAGGTGGAATCAAACATGAGCTGGGCTGACTCCACAACACAGCCACAGGAGCAGATTGCAGTGCAGCAGCAAAGCACAAGGTAAAACAGGAATTGAGCACAAACCCACAAATGAACCCCAAGCCTAGAACCCTTTGCATTAATGAAATCTGGGAGACAGATATTTGTTCTCAGTAAACCAGAGGAAAAGTAGCTTGGAGAGAATACCATGATACAATTCTCCAAAACTCGGCCAAAACATACATACTAAGCTTTCTGCCTGTTGCCAGTAGTTAAACCACTGGCAATCTCCGCATTTCAGAACACTAAAAAATGAAGATTTTTAAATGCCAAACTAAATTCTATATCCCATAGATATAATCCAGACTCTTAGTAGGAAGAGAGATAAGTGTTAAACACTCAAAATCAAAATGAGCTAAGAAAATAAGCAGTGGAGGATTAGTGGTAGCTTTTAACTAAAATCTCACTTCAAATGTGTTTTTAAAATTGACAGAAATGTTAAACCACCCTATTTCAAAGTGATTTGTACATCCAAAGAAAAATTATTTGTCTCCCATAATTTTTTTTTATCATAGAAACACTAATAATCAAAACTTGATCTTGAAAAATGCCACAGGTATCCCTGTAGGCTTGTCATATAAAAGAACAAGTGCAAAAGGGTAAGTGAATTGTATTCATTTGTATGACATTGATATCTTGCAAGTTGTCACTGGAGCAAAATGTGCAAACAGAAGAAAATTTGCTTGGCTTCAGACTCTAGGTTTTGTGAGGTGCTGAGCTGTGTTTCTTAAGTCAATTGTAATGATTACTGCAGTAAGTTTGATACCAGACTCTTTAAAGCTGGACTCTGCCCATCAGTTCACTTGATAGAGGCCAAAGGATAACCAGGTTTGCAAGTAATAATCTAATTGGGATTGGACCTAGCAATTCAGAGGAAGTAGATGTCATATTATGTTAACCATTCCCAGACTGAGTCAACTTGCCAAGTAATATGAATGATGAAAAAATAAATCTAGAATGACACCAGAAGTAAGCCCTTCCAATACAACCTCAGATTGCTATACATACACCCTTATCAAGTAGAGGTGAGTTATTGACCAATAAAAAAGTTGATACTTGTGTTGAGTTGGGTACAGGTATTTTGCAATATACATTCTCAGAAGAGTTGAGTAGGCCAGTATTACTTCAAAAACCAAGATCCTGTGGGATGCTTTAGCACAATATGGAAGCCAAGTAATATTGTTACTCATTTGATTTATGGAAACGAGGTTGTGCTGCCATGCCTTCAGGTTTGCACACTAAGCAACTTCACAGGAACTGCAGTAGCAGGAAAGGCCTCTCATTTTCTTCTCTGCTCCCAACTTTCTCTCCAGTACTATGCATAGCAGTGAGTGTACATCACCCACAATATTATAGCCCTAAGTTACATTTACTGTGCTAATGCTTTTTATAAATGCACATGCAAAAACATTTAAATAATATATGACATTTGCATTGCTTTTCAGTAGCTTTGAGCAAAATTAAACCATTTGCATGTGTTCTGTGTCAGGCTCAAAGCTGCAAGTTATAGTTAAGTACAGTGTTTGTCACCTGCAGTACCCCTATAAAACAGTATCTCATAATATAAAATGCAGTTTCCTATATAAATAAAACCTTGAGTTTATCAGTCCAATTAGACTGAGGCTAAGAGAAGAATGTATTAAAAGTTAAGTCACAAGTATATCACCTCTATGAGCTGGTAGATAATTTATGGCTCAATGAGACAGTTTTATTTAAGACACATACACGGTATATGCAAAGTTTAGTGTCAGTTTTAACACCATTAAGAGTTAAGAACAAACTGTATTTGTTAATGCAAACTATGATCTTCAAAATGGCTTTTTTCTCATTTACCTCATGATAATGTCTTCTTTTCAATTACAAAATATTTAATGCTGACCTATTAAAAAGACACACAATTTATAAACCATTTAAGAAGCATCCTTTACAGTTACCTCAATTTACTAACCTCAAACTTTTCGGTGCTATTGATTGTAATGGTATTTATGTTCCACTGATTTTGTAGTTCTCCCGAAACTTGCCAAATGTTTGTAACAGTATCTTCAGAGAGCTTTTGAAGCCCCACCATTAATGTTTTGCTCATTTGACTGACCCAATAATGGAATCTAATCTGGGAAAAAGAAGAAGGTTGATTATTTCAGGGAAACAATGGTAAACAGTGTAATACAAAGAATGTGCATCAAAATACCTGGCAAAGGTGTTCTTCATCAGTTGGAAGGAAAACGCTTGTCCTTAAAACTGCAGAAGAGGATTGCATTTCAGAGGACAATGAGAGGAAATAAGCTATTAAAAGGAACAAAAACAGAAAACTTAGAAGCCTGGGAAAAAAAACCCAATAAAACAAGGAGAGAAATATGCACAGGTATAAATTAATAACTAAAAAGCCAACTGGGATTGTTTCCCCAGAAAAGACAAATAGCACTTGTAGCCATTGTGATCCAAGCTTTTTTCCATGTTCAATATTTTCATGGCATTGCTCCACTTTCCAGCTAAAATTTTAAGCAGGATTCCAAAACATTTCATGTGGTGATATCTTGAATACTCAACATTTTGGGACAAAGTGAGACTAACTCAAAAAGCTGATCCAAAGACTTTAAGCTCCAGTGATTAAGTACGTAACTTATTTCGTGCCCAAACATCCAACTGTTGTAAACAACAATACACATTTGTCATGATAGTTCAGGTCTTTGAGGAGGTGGTGGAACATGAGAGAGAAGACTTTTGTGTTTTTATAGGCTGAAAACTGGTGGTGTCTGGGCTCTGGCTGCTCAGAAAATTGCCTTGAAAGACGTGGTATCTTTGTATATTCCCAATATAAGAAGTTGTCTTTGTAACTTCAAAGCTACCATTAAAGATACCATTATTTTTCATTTACAAAACAAGTCCTTGCTTCCCTTGAAAGTGTAACAGCTCAAGAGGAGTCAGTGAACTATGGTTGTTGCCATGCCCTTTGACTGATCATGTCTCTTCCTGATAATATTGTTTCAGATCTTATAACAGATGGAAGGCAACCACCCTATTTTAGGATATCAAACACAGCAAGTCAAAATTTAGCTCTTCCTGAACATAAAAATTTCAGAGATATTTGATGCTAAGGATGCAAGACAAAAAATAAAGAATAGAAAAATACTCAATCTGTTTTTAATTCTTTTTCTTCCTTTCTCTTCCTCTTCCCAAACTCCAAACAATGTCAAGTAACTTGCTGTCCTCTGACATTAACATGCTAATGAAAGGAGGAAGATAAAGGAGAAAAAAGCCAAGCAGGACTAAAGGAAAAAAATTCCTAAAAATAAAGATTAATGCATTCACCAAATACCAGAGGATAGATCAAAACATCTAACTACTTAATTTATTTAACTACCCACCTTGACCTCTCATCCTTGTGTGGAACTGGAAAGCCCCTGATGAAGCACCACCAGCCCGCTCAGGGCAGGAGCCAGCTGAGCAGTCCCCACAGAGGAGCATTTTGCAGCCTGCTACCAGGGCAATGGCCATGTGCCCCCAGGTTTTATACCTTTCCTGACTGCTCAGGCAGCACTTTCAGAGCCTGCCAGCTGCAAGGGTATTGCTCCTACCCACAACAGATGGCTTGGTGTCTCTGCAGAGCCCTGTCCCTGACTCCAATCTGTTCTGTTGGATGTTAGCTTCCATGAAATTTTGAAATTTTTTCTTTTAGTTCTCTAAAGATGAATATGTCTAAGAGTAAAAAATTTGTTTTTCATCTGCCACAGGAATTTTAAGTTTTACACAGATAGGGAAGAAATACTAATTTTAAGAAATTCTTTGAATAGTCATTTCAGATTACACCTCTGCATAGAGAATAGTGTCATCTATAGTGTCTTTTTCTGCGGGTTCTTTTAAAGTGGTTGTCATCGTTTTGTTCAATTACTTTTTCAGTGAAAAAAAAAAAAAAAAAAAGATCATGAGAGACAGACCTAAGGAAATATTTTGGGTTCTGGTAAATGATTACATAAATCTTCAAAGGAGTTAAATTTACCAAGGGATTTTTCTTTTCTGCTAATGTGTGTGTTTTATCCTGATGGCAGGAAGTCTTCCTTTTAACACTACCATAGAGCATACTCTGTTCAGTTGTTATGATAGAGAATCATTTCTGGGTTTTAAACAGGAACCAACATAAAATGGATTACATAGTCTACTGAGTCACCAGCAGTGGGAAAACTCAACTCGCTTTATCTTCTTATCCATAAGAAGATAAATATTTCCTAGGCAATTAGAAGCACCATTTAGAAAATGAAAGTGCAGTTTAGACATCCTCCAGGTAGAAAAATAGAAGCAAATTAATACAATGGATTTAAATCTCCTTAGCTATTCAGTTCACCAGTCTGAGTACACAGCCTCTCAGAAAGCTGAATAGCTACAAGTAGTTGAGCTTCCTGCTACCTGAATAAAGTAACTTAGATTAACATGACCATTGCACAATTCAGACCTGGCAGATAAACAGTGACTGAAGGGCCAAAACAAGTAAATGTGAACAATACAGGTGACTGAACAGTTTGCTTCGTCTGCAACAAACACTTCAGTTCACGATTCTCAATCTTTGCCTGGCTTTGGCAGTCTGTAAAAGTTACATTTTCCCTTCCCTACCAGTTTTTATTGAATTTTAGTGTATCTTTCTGGCATTTGCTGCATCCTGATGTGGTGTGCACTACCAATCATGCACAAATTCTAGAAACTTCCAAGTACAGCAAGACTGTTGCCTGGCTAACCTATTCTGATTCTAGCCAAGAGTTTGCTATATTTGTATTCCATGGTACTTTTGGGGTTTTCTTAATGTGTTTCTTAATGAGAAAATATTTATTATTTTAAATTATTTCACAACTTTCATACTTGAGAAAAAGCTTGTGTTTATGAAAAAAGTTTGCTAGCTGCTCACATTTTTGTGCCAACATTGGTCTAAATCAACACTTATTTAATAGCAACCTTATCTTTGGAAGCATAACACACACAGCAGGATGTGCTTCTGAGATACACACAAGCAAAAACTGAAGTTGCTAAAAGCATATGAGATATATAAAATTTCCTAACTGCAGAGTATCATGAGAATTGTCCACTGTGAAATGAGAGCTTGAAGGAAAACCTAGAATGGGGGTTTTGGTTGCTGTTTTCCTCAATTAAAAAAAAAAAAATAAATTTGGGTTTCATTTTCATGTGCTAATTTCTAAGCAAGTTTTCCATACATTCCCCTTGAAAAACCAATTTATACTCATTGTTATTTAGAACTTCTATATTTTTGATGGCTTATGCAATGTGTAGGAGATGCTACTTTAGAACAGTGCAGATTTCCACACTCCCAGATCATCACAGCTTGGGAACAGGGTGTAAAGCACCTGGGCTAATCACAATAATAATTGCATCCCACCTAGGATTCTCTACTTGTACATGTTCCAGCATTGCATGCCTGCTTTCAGGTGGTCAGCATGAAGGCTTCCAAAGCACTACTTGTGCCTAGGATGGATGAGAGGGTGTGGGTGGAGGTGAAGGGAAAGAGAATAACAGAAAATATGGAGAAGAGAACTAAACAGCTATTGTATTACAGTATGTATCACAGAAGGAAAAGCAGGATTTATTTGGCGATAGGACAAGTATAAAGGGTAAATTTTGTCTGAGGACAGAGGAAAGAAATTACTTAGTTGAGAGACACTCTTCAAGGTAAAATAGAATTGTAAGAAGATTTAGGAAGAAGCCTGCTCAAAAACAGACTATCAAAGCTTATGCTATCTCCAAATACAACGTCCTCTTCTCTCAAAATATTTGGAGTAGTAATCTTAGCCATAGATTATAGATACACACACTCCAGGCATTTCCCAGTCCAAGAAAACATTAAAATATGTCTCAAATTTTCTAAACTTTGCAATTGCCAAGACTGAATTTGCCATTTAATATGTCCAAAACAAGTAAAGATCATTCTGGTAGGTAAACACATCTTTTGAAACTTATCACTTGCACCTCTATGATAACAAGAATTGCTTATTGTAATACTGTCTTCCTCCACCCCTTTCCCCCTGGAATTCTGTGTTATTTTAATTGCAATCACCTTAAAGACACCTCAAAATCACCTCAAAAGACACAAATGCAAAGGAAACATGTGGAAGAATATAATTGAACAATCAAGAAATTAGCAAAATTTAAGTAAAGTAAATAGAAAACTACATAATATGTAAGAGCCCATGGTTTCCCCAAAGAACATGAGGAGTCTTACCACTCTCATTCCCATTGTGGTCAAAGTATGGTGGTCCCATCCCAGACTGACCATTTCTTCTTATCCAGCCAGGCTGTAAATTGAATTCAGGAAGAAGTTTGCACAGATTGGTTTCAAAATCACAGTTGTTCCAGGAGGAACCTGAATTGAAGCAAACAAACAAAAAATTAAAAGCTAAAAAAAAGAAGCAAAAGGATATTTTTTCACCATCACTTGCTGTATAGTTAACACACAGAAACACTCTGAACAGGGCCCTGAAAAAAAGTGAGAAACACCAGAATGTTTAAATCATGGACAAAGAGAAACTGCACAATGGAAGAAAGACAACTGAGAATGAACATGGGGGAAAAGACCCCAAACAAACAACCAAGTCCTTCCTCCACCAAACCAAGTCCAAACTTGTCAATTTAATATTTTATTACTATGTTATGTGCTCTTTTCATCACAAATATATTTGTAGTCACCTGCTTGTAGGAAAATCTCCAAGCTAGTATAGTTTATACGCAAAGATTGTTCTTAAAATACACTGCAGCTCTAAGGTGAAGAATTTGTCCAGAGTTCTTGCAGGGAAAAACAAAGAATTAACACCAGGATGCAATCAGAGAGCAAGTTTGGTTTTATTTTTGATTCCGCATCATTCAAACAAGAGAAAAAATGAATCCTCAGAATGGCACAGTGTCCCCACTTGCCCTTCCTCTTTCTTATTTCTTCCAGTACACATCACAATGTAGTGAGGAAGGAGCATTTTCCCCCTTCCAGATTCCCCTGTAGAGCAGCATAGGTTGGAAAAGGGAGGCAGAACACCTTTCTGGCACCAAACCCAGTTTGGTGTATGAGTTCATTCAGGCAATTTGAGGTAGGTATGGGACCAGATCAATTACTGGGCTGGAGGGAGAGATGTTGGTTTTTGCACGGGTGTCAAACAGCCCTTCATGCATCACATCGAAGCTGAATGAAAGTGCTTGGATGTGCTTGACAGGCTGGACAGCCCCATTCCTTGAAATACTTCTTGTAGGAGTGGAAGGATTTAATTTAAAAAGAAGTCTAATTAGATGCAGCTGTAAAGAACAAACTTATTGCAACCCCAGCCCAAGCAGAGTGGCCAGTACGTGGATTTTGTATTGTGTGTGGAAATTTTCATTTCCCCTGCCCTTTGTCTTGCAGAGCAGACGAAGTTGGCTAAGACCCTGCCTTCTAATTGGGATTCTGATTCGATACAGGAGCTACAGTGCCTTCAAACTCCCTCTCTAATTGGTGCCCACTCCAGGCCCCTGCTAATGCTTTTGGTCTAGTCTGTATTATCATAATTCACTGGTCATTTTAAATAAAGTAACAACTGCAGCATTGATAATCACAGAATGATGGTCAATTTCATTACTTTCATATTCGTGTCAGTTTACTGCAACAATTAATTACAAGGTGAGGGGAAAACAGAAATAATTCATTATTCCAGACTCAAGTTAATGTGCACATTGGCTGAGTCATCAACCAACTTTTTATTGCTGCTTTTATTCCTTAGATCTTTAAGTGGCTAAAAGGCATGTCAGAGGATTATCAAAAGCACTAACACTATTGAAGTATATATATCTGCTTGGCATTGCAGATAAGATGCACCAAATCACACTCAACATTTCTTCTAGAATTTTCTCATACCTGAAAAGACAATTGCAAAATAATATGCATGAAATACAAAGAATTGTACCATTTTAAATTAAAAAAAAAATAATCATTATTTTCCAAGGCAATATTCATTTTCAAAAATATAACTTCAAGGCAAACCAAAGTAAAGTTGCTGGAAGATAGATTTACAAAGGTAAAAGTCACTGCATAGAGAGGAAAAGTTCAGAAGGAAGAAATGTGTGGGTTTTATTAGATAATTTTTGCTGTGTTTCCTGTGATCAAAAAAAGAACCTGAAATAACTTCTAAGAAAAAATTCCAAGTCTTACAGGAACAGATGACAATTAAAGGTTCTATTTCGAGTGTGCATGTGTATAAAATCTCAGTTTAGGATATTCTGGGAGAAAATATATTTAAGAGTATTTAGTTATCATTCATTTCCTGGCAAATGTTTTGCAGTATGAAGACCAAATGAACAATAAAAACTGGAATTCCAATTTTTATATATTTTCACTGCAGAAGCTTCTTTAAATCTGAGCAAAGCCCAGGAAAAAGAGCAGGCACCTGTCACCAACATGAGACCAGGAGCTGAAACCTAAGCAGAAAAATAATTTTGCAATAATCCCAAATCCCAGAAAAGAGTGGCAGCAGGGCAAATCTTCAATTTGACTCCCTGATCTGTATCTTTATGTCTGACAGCTGACTTATCTCCTGAAGTAATCCAGAGCATTATCCAAGCAGCCCCAGCATGCAGCCTGTCCCTCAAAGCCTAGTTCTACTCCTCTGGCTTGTTCACATGAAATACAAAATAATTTCATATTTAGGGTTTTTACAGAGACCAAAGGCTCATACTAGTCTTTGGAGAAACCTTTAATTCTCTACTTTCATATAAGAATTTGTCTATAGTTGCATTCCCTCAACAGACAAGTGTAAAAAGCCTCCATAAAAGATAATGGAAGAATGCACCTCTTCTTCCATATTCTGCAATCACAATAGAAAATGCTGCCTGGAGTAGGTGCCCTTTCCAGGGAAACCAAGACCAAGCACAATGAAGATTTCGAGGCTATGCAGTGGAACTTAGCATACCCACCTCTTGGACAAGTGATAAAAATGTATGCTAACCTGAGATGTGTTAGACATGTCAGGGAATTCAGTGGCATTTCAGTCAGTGCCATTCAATACATTTTTGTACAGCACAGGAAACTTACAAAAATGTACTGATATCCAATACAGCTTTAATAATTGTCTTATTAGCAGAGAAATAAAAAGCAAGTATCATAAAGCTGATTCTAGATTCCTGCTCCAAATAGATCTCTGCATCCTCTTTGGATAAAACAGGGAGTCCTGTTTTAGGAAGAAAATCTTTATGTGGTTTGACACACAATTGTAATTTGGAGAACCCAGTTTCTACTCTTTCTTACAGATTTCAGCTGAATTCAGTGATTGCTAACATGCTCTAATTAGTAGTTTTCATTGTGGACAGATAGATACAGGCTCATCTAAAGACCATCTATTTAATATTTAAAGTGAAATTTTAAAATTCCAACAAAGATGGTAGCTTACTTTTTTGTATAGTAAGGAGGAGAACTTAGATAAGCATTTTAGTTAGAATTAAAATTTTTGATAAATCCAAGCTCTTCTTTGGACTCAGAACAAGAAATCCTCAAGGAGAAGGATTACCTTGTACATCTCTCCTGGTTTCAGCTAGGGAATAGTTAATTTCTTCTCAGTAGCTGTTACAGTGGATTCAGAATCACAGTGGTGTCTATAACATGCTGATGTTCTGGTTTTTTGCTAAGTCATATATATCCTACGGCAAGGACTTATTTTTTTCCCTTTTCCTGATGCTGTGCCAGTGAAAAGTTTGCAGAGCTGGCTCAGCTGACCAGAGCCTGATGCTAATAGGACCAAGGCTCTAGGTATGGTCTGCATACGGGTCATGCACTTCAGCATTGGACTCTGTGATCCTTATGGGTCCCTTCCAACTCAGAATATTCTGTAATTCTGTAAAAAAATAAAAGAAAGCCACCAAAACTGGGGCAGGGGGGAGCATAGCTGGCAAGGGCCATGTCCACTATATAAACTGGGGGGAGTTAGCTGGAAGCACAGCTGATCTGGGATCAGGAAGGAGAGGTTTGGCACCAGTCAGTGAGTGACAAGCAACTGTACTGTACATTAATTGCATTTTTTACTTTTTTAAAATTATTATTATTTACCACTATTACCCTTACCATTGTTTTATTTTACTTTATTTATGTTTCAATTAATAAACTCTTCTTATCTCAACACATAAGTTTTACTACACTTCTCATTACACCACAAGCAAGCAACTGTGTTGTGTTTCATCTCCAGCTGGGCTTAAAAACATGACATGAAATAATTTGCAGCAGCATTTTGAAGTACAGTATTCCAGAAATACTGGAATTCTGATGCAATTTTACTCAGAGAATAGCAGTTAAAATTCTCTCTCACCACTTAGATCAATTCCCTACAGGAAATAGCACCAATTGTATTTGTAACCAATGCATGTGACAAAGATTAAGCTAGGATAATCAGTTGCTCATCAGTTCATGTATTCAAGGAAAGTTCCACTCTTGACTAGACAAAAAAAAAAAAAAAAAAAAAAAAAAAAAAAAAAACCAACAAAAAACACCAAAAAACCCCCCCCAAAAAACCCCAAAAAATGTAGCTTATACTTTGGTCTAGGTATTTTGTATTAAATCTGAATTCTATCAAACATGTTTCCCACAAAGTATTAATTGCTGAATCTTCATTGAATTTGGATGAGGAAACACTTGTTTTGTGATGTAATATCCATGTGAAGATTCACGAGAGTCTTGTACTTCACAAATGTTGAAAAAGAAAAAAAGCATGTAAAATCAAACTGAACCTGGAATAAACTTTTCTTTCAAAAATGAAGAGGGTAAAAAAAAACCAAAAAAAGAATTCCCCCAAACATTTTTTAACATAAAAATATACTCCCTAGTTCTCTCTTCTGTCCCGTTTGGTTACCAAACAGCATCACACGTCTGCTAAGGCCCTGCAGACTTACCTTGTTTCTCATCACCGCTGTCTCCACAGCAGCCTGTGGAGATGCACACTTCTCCAGGTGGAGCAGAAGAACCATCCCCACGCTGGCACCCACTTGCTGTGGATGGCTGAGTGTCCACCTGAGCAAAGCAATAGAGCACACAGACGGATAGGAGCCTGTTCATGGGCTGTGTTACTATCCAAGCCTTCACTTGGAAAATACTGAAACCGCCTAGTATCGATCATGAAGCACCTTTTACCAAGGTATGTTCACACACATCTCTCTGGGAGATGTTTTTAGAACCTCAGTTTCTTAATCTGCAGCTTACAGGAAGTCACTGCTTCTACAAAGCAGTGACTTTCAATCTGCTGTGTCTTAGGATAATATTTAACTGAATATAACGTTTTATGACTAAAAAGTATTGGTGCATGCTATGAAAGTCAATTGTATATCATTAACTTACTGATTGGATTTATTGCTCAGTGGTTTGAAAATATATTAGATAAGAAAACAACAGGAAAACAGCGTAGAATTACTAAACGACCAAAATCCACAAAGACCTGTATTTGCTCAGAAGGAGTTGACAAATGTTTATAAAATGTATGAAAAGTTTGTCCATCGAATGTGAAAATCAGTCAAGAAATTCAAATTTCAACTGATTTTGCATCAAAGTGATTGCAAATCAGTGCACCGACTTCTGTCTCTTGTATCAAGGATGTTTTAGTAACGCCTTTCACCGTGTTTCAATGTTTCACCAAATCACAGTGGTTCTACCTACACCTTTAAAGGATATTCACATGGAGGAGGGGGATTTGGAAATCCAAACAATCAAAAGAGCTAACCTTGTGAGAAAATGTTGAATCAACTTGTTTCATTCAGCCTAGCATCACATGAAATCGGGAAAATTGTTTTAGTGAAGTAGCTTAAATACTTCAGATGCCCCAAACCCAGGGATGCAGTGCTAGTAGGAAAAAGATAAGTTAATCACAAAATCTGGAAGGCAAATAATGGTGAGAACTAGACAAAATAAATCTGGCACTCGGGTTAGTATGGCATTCCTTTAATAGGAATAGAGGGATGAAAAATAAAATTCCCA